TGAGAATGACGGCTGTGTACAAGATAGGCTTGAGAGAGCTTCGAGACCGGGCGGATGAGGCAGGTACATCCGCTACGGTGGCGAGATTCCGAGAAAGCACGCCGTTCCAAGTCCGGCCAGCGCGTCTACATGACGGACCTGCAAGAGCCATTTTGGACTGAAATTTTACACGTGACCCCTTGATGGCCTGGTCGCTTGTCACAGGATTACCGCTTTCGTTCATCCGTCGACCATGTCCCTTTCCCTCGTTTCCAGTCAGTACCTAGATGAGAACTCGGCCAAGATTAGGACCAAGCCTGTACCGTGGGAGGTATATGCTCCGCCGCGTAGATACCTTCCCTGTGCTTTGATCACTTGCAGGGATACCAACGTGCAGACTTAATCACTACGGATGAGCTCTCTCTCATCAAGAAGGTCGATAGGCAGTCGAAGGCAAAGACTGAAGCACTCTTGCTTTCTGACGCTCAGAATTATGCCCTCTTGTATCTTCGACTCCTCAAGAACTACAGAGAGTCGATACTATGCAGTGCATTCTTGTCCTCATCGGAGATGCCATTGCTGGTGCGTTCGAGCCACATTAACTGCGCAAGTTGATCCTCACCGTAATCGAAGATCACGATGAGCGCATACCTTTGTTCACTCGTGCAGTGGAGTCTGATCCCGAACTCCCCTACGGCCCATTGCTCAGGCAAGCCTTCGACAAACCAATTTATAGGTACCAGATTCTGACATCCACGCAGGGCCCTCGATACCCAAGATGAATTCGTACAACTCAAAGCCGCTCAAATTCTAACCGTGCTCTTGTGGTCGGCATCAAGTTTCCTAATGTTCAGACCTCTTGTACTGATGATATCATCAGCTCAGAATCCACTCTCTTGCAGGCATCACAACTTCACCCATTCCTTACTTTCCTTGCCGGGCTAGTTCAAGGCAACTCTCCGAGCAAATGCGATATCGCGGTACAATGTCTTGAAGCTCTGCTTGCTCGTCCGGAATGCAGGCAGGCTGTCTGGGCTATCCCCGGTGTGACAGCAGGGTAACCGCCAGCGAAAAATCTCGTTTGAGCTTCTTCTGAAGTTCTTGCCAGCTTTGTTGAAATCCTGAAGCACAAGCCCGGTCCACAGATGACTTATCAGGTCGCTTTCTGTATCTGGCTGCTTTCTTTTGAGCAAGATGTTGCGGAGCAAATCAACAAGTGCGTTTTGTGCATTCTCTGTTCAGTCGATGTCGGGTCTTAACTCTGCTCCAGAAAGTATGACATCATTCCATTATTGATAGATGCCGCCAAGGCTGCTGTGAAGGAGAAAGTTATCAGGGTCATTGTCGCAACGTTCCGGGTAAAGCGACGTGTTCCTTCCGGTCCCCTTGCTGATGTCACATAGAACCTGGTTGTTAAAGCGCCCAGCGCGAATTTGCCCTCGATGCTTGTTGCTCAGTTGCTGCCATTCGTCAAGAATTTATGCACCCGGAAATGGTCGGACGAAGATGTGGTCGAAGATATCCAGTATCTACGCGAGGAATTGGCCTCAAACTTCCAGAGCCTGACGTGCGTCATCCAGTCCGAATCTTCCCCCTTTTGTCTTACGCTTGACACAGAACTTATGACGAGTATAGTTCTGAGCTCTTGTCTGGGCATCTTTCTTGGTCGCCGGTACACGAGTCGGATGATTTCTGGAAGGAGAACGCAACCAAGCTGAACGATAAGGACTATGAGCAACTGAAGTAAGTATTGGTGATTCCTTGTGGCAGAGTTGTCGGACTGAGACTTGATAGGGTTCTTGTTCGGCTGCTGAAGGAGTCAGAGGACCCCGTTGTGCTTGCTGTCGCTGCTCACGATCTCGGCCAATATGTCAAGCACTACGAACGTGGAAAGAAGTACAGCTTTCCCTCATTGATGCATGCAAAACTGATCCTGTTTCCGCAAGGCTCCTAAACGATTTCGGCGCGAAAACGCGTGTGATGGAATTGATGACGCATCAAGACTCGGACGTACGATACCGCGCGTTGGTGTCCGTGCAACACCTGGTCAGCCAGCCCTGGGTTACGGTCTAGTCTGCTTGAACACTGCCCGCCTGCATTTTCATAATATATATAGTACAGCTCTGTTAGACCCAGACTTCAGCAACAATGTCCCACTCCTTGAGTGTTTTGGCGTGCTTGTCTTCGTAGCCCTCGGGCTCGTCTAGAAACTTGTCTTCGACGAGAATGACCCGGAGACCACCGACAGTGTTGAATCCAGGGCTGATGGGGACGAAAGCGAACTCAAAGTCCTGCGTGGCCTGCACCAAAATGTCCTGCTCGCCCTCCTCAGCATTACTCGGACGAATCAACTCGATGGGTGGAAGGAACACAGCCGATGGCCCACAAGGAACAATTCCTGAGTTGGACGACCGTAGTTCGTCCGGCCCCTCGAAGAACGGTGGCGGCAGGCCCAACCCTGCTTCATCCTTGGGCACAATTTCTGACAGCTTCTGGTGAGCCAAAGCATAGTTGAATGTCGTAGACATCGGCGACGGGGTTGAGAAACCGGAGATCACCGTTCTCGGACTGTATGGTTCAGGAATCGCAGGCGCTGGATTGAAGATTGCAGGAACTATCGCGCGAGGGCTCTGTAGATGCTGAACGACGAGCCCCAGTCGACGTCGTCGACCCAGAGAGAGAGAGGCAGATACAATCAAGGTGAATTCGATTTCGAACGGGCTATCGAGCTGGATCTTTTCTCGAGCAATTCGCCGTACGACAAGACCGACATCGACGTCGAATGGTGCCGTGCTTGCTGACGGCGCTATCGGGACTATGGGTGGTGGCGTCTGGGTTCTGGTCATTAGCGAAGATGGTGGTCGGTTGCGAAAGGGTGAGCCCGGCCGCACTCCTGTCGGGGATTCAGATCGCGGAGATTGCGGAAGTTGATGGCCACTGCTGGAGGAAGTCCCCCCGCGCTTCAGATGAGGGGGCAGAGCTGAAGCCGGTATTGGCACGGGAAGCAGAGGAATTTTCCGTGAAAGCATAGACGTCAGTAACCGGCCTGGCTCGCCAAACGAGGATCGCCACGAGATATCCAACCGTCCTAACGGGATTATAGATCCAGGAGCTGGGGGCGCGTAGATAACAGCCGGGACTTTGCGCGTGAGAATGTAGATGTACTGGCGCATATCTTGGGGTTGCATAAGAGCCTGTGAGCCAGAAAATGGGCCCTCGGCATCGTGCATCGGGTTTGTGTCAATTGCATCCCAGCCGTCTGCAGATTCAAAGCGCATCCGTTCAAACCACATTGGTTCCGGAGTCATATTTTGAATATGCACCTCTAGAAAGACCTTCTCCCGTTCCACAGCGGACATGAGTGCAGATGGTGAACGCGGACTATGAACTTTCGTCTTCACAGACAACGGATTGGTGACCTGTGCATTTCTTCAGTACGCAGTGAGAAAGTCCTCTGGAGAGGATGAATTGGACCCACAGCAAACTTGTAAAACTTGCGGAAACTTTGCAAAGAGGGATCAACACCCTCACTTGACGACCCTGGAACAGTTCTGGACCCGGGAGGTAGCCGATACGACACTGTGCACGCCAGAACATGCTGGCCAAGCTCCTTGATCTCATGGGTCACAATATTCTCCAACGTCTCTCCTACACCTAACGCTCCGCCGAGCTCTGCCAAAGTCACCTTCGAAGTCACAGTCTGCATCTCAACCTTTAGTGTCACATCCTCTATCCCCACGTGGGCCTCATTGTTGACACAAAGACAGCTCGAGAACGTCTCACCCAGTTGGATGGAACCGAATGAGGACGGTAATGTGAGAAGTTCAGTGACATGCGTCAGATCGCGCAAGGTCTTGGGGTGCCCTGCCAGAGGAGTTTCGCCTTGTAGTGAAAGGATCGAGGCTGTCGAATGGGACTGTACATCGTAAGTGAATAGCGTCGGTAGCACGACGTGACGCACAGAGAAAGATGGGGAGCTAGAGTAGAAGGGTTGCCACGCGCTTGCTATCGATGGCCGCGACACACGCATAACCTTGAGAGACAGGAGATGACCTGAGCCTGAATCACCCATGGCCGCTGAGAGTGAGTACGCGCTGAGGCAAGCCTGATTTGTGGCAGTGTAATCACTTCCAGTAGAAAACATAGATTTATGAGAGCTAGAAAATACTATATGAAGTGCAAACTATTCCGCAGGAATGAAACATAAGGAATGAACGGGAACGATGTGCCAAAGGCGGATGTTTCGTGTACAAAGCTCAAAAGAAAGAGTGACCGTTGATACTTGGGAGATAATGGGTGAAATTGACAATCAGTTGCCCCGACCGTCAGCTCCTTCTAAGGAATCTGAGCGAACTGAGGTAGCATCGCTTATCAGATCTCCAGCGGCTCATGAGTACGCGCATCGAGCCCACCTCGGGTGTTTGCCTCGCTCAAACCGACTCGGCTGTCGCGGCGAACGAATCCACCAGCACCGGGACCTCTGGGCTGGCGAACGACCCCGCCGGGACTCTCGTGTCCAGCGTTCAGCGAGGGCACAGAGGGAACCGGTGGAACGTTGAATGCCCCCCCTGTCGAAAAGAGCGAGGGAATACCAAAACCGCTTGATTGTCGGCGGGGGGCAGCAATGGTCGCATAGCCCTCCCGGATGTTTCCGTTCGATGAGCGTGGGGCCAACCGCGGGGCCTGCGAGTGCAACGTCTTCATGTCTGGCATTGATTTCTTCACACGCGAAGAGCAGGGGACGGAAGCGGAGACGGAGATTGTTGCGCGAGATAAGCGGAAGGGGCACGGGAAAGGGTGCGAGGAGGGTGTTGCTGCTGCTGCGAATAGAAGATCGGTGTCGGTTCAATTTTATACACACTGGTCACTCACCCTGGAAGGATCAATTCTGGTCACGACAGCGTGTCTTTCCTCTCCTTCTCCAACCGAATAGTGGTACACGCCCAGCTTTTGAGCAACCAAGTGAACGACCCGTCGTTGCTTGGGAGTCAGAGCTCTCGAGAAAGCAAGTTCGTCGCGCATACGGTCATCCTTGAACAAGAGTATCATGGAGTAAATTTCCAAGGTAGCGGCATCATTAAGGTCTAGTTCGTTGGCCGATGCCTTCTCGGATGCTGGAGGAGAAATTGGATTTTGGCTCGGCATAGCGGGGGAAGACGCGATAGGATGATTATACGGGGGACCAGGCATCGGTGATACGTTAGTAGGTGAGTATTGCTGCGGGTACTGTGTTCCAGAGAAGGACCGCTGGGTATAATTGGGGGCACCAAATTCATCGTAAGGAGTCGAGGCCGGTGTAACTTGTTCCTTGTCCAGCTGCATAGAACGCATACGGCGGATGGCTTTTTCGCGTTCAATACGCTCCTTCTCCCCAGCTTGAAGCACTTTCTTGTACTCGACACGCAGCTTACGGCCTTGAACATCGAAGCCATTCAACGCAACCACGACAGCATCAGCGTCAGAGGCCTGGCGGAAATTAGCAAAAGCCAGCCCACGGAAAGAGCCCTGCTGATCCAAGTGATAGTTGAATGCATAGGGTGTGGGAATGGAGAGAGAAGCCTAAATTGTACAAACAAAAGATTGCTTAGTGATGCGTGTATAGAGAGGAAAGAGCACTGACAATGATGTCCAGCAACGTCTCCCGCTTGACATTGAAGGGAATGTTTTTGATAACGATGGCGGTGGGGATGATCTCGTCATCCAAGAGGTTTTGGCTGGGGCTGGCACCAATAGGAGGCGGGGAGACCAAGTGGGCGCCGGGCGGAGGAGAACCACCGGTGGAAGAGAAATCCGAGTTGTTGTGGGGCGAAAGAGAGCGGCTGTCGGAGTTGTCGAGCCATTGCTATCCAGATCGTAAGTAAATCAGTATCGCGTAAAAACGGGTACTGGACACACCGTGGGTAGCCCTGCCCGCGCTCCACCCTTGAGACGACCCGGAGACTGACCCACAGTCAAAGGGTTGTACTGAGACTGAATTGGAATTCCCGGAGAAGTGGCAAAGTGATATTGGGGTCTGCTGCCACTGTTGCCTTCGTATTCATAACTTTCGTGAAGACGTTGGTGCGATGAGGAGAGAGAAAGGGTCGAAATGTCAGGCGGTGAGCTCGTCATGTTTATTCGGAGTTCACGCTCGTTAAGACGCTCGTCAAGATTGTAAAGAAAAGAAGGAGAACAAGAGAAATGTACCCTGACTTGGCGGGTGAGTGTGCTTGAGAAGTCGTGACGATCGTGTGACCCTGAGTCACATCAACCTAGGGCATTGTTTCCGGAATTACTGCGTTTTACTCAATCGAGACACTAACGATATTCCTGGCCTTTCTGTAATCGATCGAATGTCAAGGCATTTCAAGCACACCGAGAGGATATCGGCTAATCCATACATCTACGCGACTTTAAACGACCAAAGCGACCGGTTTCATCGGTGTGAGCAACGTCTCGACGTCGATTGGTGTGGTAATTGAACCAGAATGATCCCATGGACCTCTCAGACTTCCCTGGCTGAGCGGACTTGTGGCGGATAAAACAACGTTTGGTAGCGAGCTGTTGGTTGGGATGGAGATGGCTGGAAGGTCCTCAAACTTGCCCGCAAAGACATCCTGAACTCGTGCGTCTTGTCTGGGTGATGCTCCGCGAGCGACAGCCGCTGGCTGGATAAAAGTTGGGCGAGGAACTGAAGGGAGCGTGTGTCTCGGTTTGCTAAGTGACAAGGAATCAACTCAAGTTACAAGAACAAGCTGGTACTCCTTACGTGCGAGGTGGGACCGGTCCTTGAACGAGACGTAGAGAAGAGGGAGGGGAACGGCGCATGGTATGAATATACTACTTCAAACTTGGTAGAGCAGTAATAAGACCGTGTCGCACAGTAGCCAGTACTGCGACGTGGGGGTTAGGGAAGAACGTCCGATTCCGACAAATATCAGGCAACAGATCGGCTGTCGAAATAATGCATTGTGGCCATCGCAACGAACGAAGGGTGGGACCGACAGCAAACCGACAGCAGACACTGTATTTGTATCACAAATACTAAAAGCACACAAAATAATCACAGCTACAACGCCTCTCAAGCAGCATCTTTCAGCGGCCGGTAATGCTTCATGAGCTGTGTTTTGAACGCTGTGAAGGAATTTTAGGCATTATTCTTGAGTAGGCAGGAAACGTACCGTCTGGTGTAGACCACTGATTAGCCGCGTCAACGTTCAAGGGAGAAGCGTTGTTCGGTTCTACCCAGGGTCAGATATGCGTCTGCGATGAGTCGAACATGGCCTACCTCCGAGAAGGGACTGCAGTGATAGAAGTATAGTCTGCACACTGTAGACCGCAGACCACTTGTCCTGAAATCCAATTTGAGAGATATGACGAGCTACAGACCGCGAAAATGAGGTTACCTGGAGGATGTCCAAGCAGATCGCACCCGAATTAATGTCAACATTGGGGTGGTAACACGGCGTGTCGAATTTGATCGCAGGAGCAACGTATGGATAATTCGGGGGGAAGGAAATGGAAATACGGAAGGAAAGGCCGGCGTAGATCTATCAGACCGATGCTATAAGTAGCGCACACGAGAGATCGAATGCAGTGGCTCACAGTTTCTGGGGCGCCATCGATCGTTCCTACCCACTCGAAGAGATTCCCATCACTCTTAGGAAATGCGGACTGAACATAAACGGCGTGAATCGGGGAGGCTCGAGAAGCTTGATGCCACCTACAATGCCTGGTGAAGAGGACATCTGGGACGCGTCAAACACACCGAGCGCGGCTAATCGACAAAACGCGCACCATGAGAGTCATAAGCTCGCTAGTCAGCCTAGTATCGATAGTTATTAGCATTCAGGTTCATGGACTCAACACGAGGCCCGACCGTTTCGCAACACTGCCCGCGCTCTGCTGCGAGGGATTCGTGACATTTGGCTTGGGATTGGCACGGGGAGGAGCAATAGAGGTAGTGAGCTGTTCCATGGTATGGGCGTTGCGCGGGGAGAATGGAGAGAATGCAAGTTGGATGGAAGAAGAAGCCTAACCAGTGACCGTGAGCTCAAAGTTCGGTTTGTCGCGTCACACGTGCTTCTTGTGTCACGAGATGTCACGTGCTACGCAGTAAACGTAAGGCACCGTAACGTGCATTCATCATCGAACTCAGAGTGATCCTCCCTCATTCCACTGGTCCAACATTCGGCCATAGTTCTACGCAGAACTATGTCGGCAGCTTCATTCAATCCGACGCCTGCAGAGCTTGCTCTGACAAATCAGATATTCGCCACTGCTGATCCTCAAAAGCTCGGTGTGATCACGGGCGAGGTCGCAGTGGGAATATTCGGGGGCGCGAATTTGTCGCCAATCGTGCTTGGAGAGATTTGGCAGATTGCAGACGAAGGAAACAATGGCTGGCTGTCTCACAAAGGCGTTGCTGTCGCTGTCCGACTCATGGGCCATGCGCAGAAGGGAGAGAAGGTGTCTCCCGCCCTGCTCAGCAAACGTGCGTCCGGTCGCTGCTCAGACCATTGACTGCGTATTGAACATCTCATCTGTAGCCTGTCCGCTCCCTAACATCACTGGCTTTACTCCCGTCGTAGCACAAGGGACCGGTGCATCCCGAACCAGGTCACCAATTCCCACCGCTGGCATGCCGCCCTTCACGCCGCAAGATAAGGCCAAATTCCAGAACATGTTTGTCAAGGCAGGGCCAGTGGACGGCCTTCTTTCAAGTGATTGTCATTTCACTCTGATACCAGTACGACTGACTCCGTGCAGGTGACAAGGCGCAGGAAATATTTATTAAATCTAAACTTCCCAATGACGTTCTCGGGCAAATATGGTATGTGAATGCTTTTTGAGCGGAAAGTATCTACAACGCCTTGTTAGGAATCTAGCCGACACACAAGACCGAGGCCGGTTGGATTCCACCGACTTTGCGATCGGAATGTATCTTATACAAGCCAAGATGACGGGGCAACTACCGTCTATACCCAGCACGCTCCCTCCTGGTTTCTATCAACAGGTCGCTGGTCAGCCGCAAAGCACCATCCGCACGCAGGCGACCGGTGGATCATTCAGTCCACTCGCTAGTTCTTTCTCACAAACCTCTTCGCGGAGCGCAGTCCAACCGCAATATACCGGAGGAAGCATGTCCATTCTTCAACCTCAGTCCACAGGACCTTGGCCAGCCAAGGCTGCTGTGCCACCACAGTTGCCGATGCGCACCGGCGCATCAGCGATTGGTGGCGGTGCCTTCGGATCAACCCCAGCTCAAGCTGCATGGGATGTCACTCCTGCTGAGAAAACAACTGCAGACCACTGGTTCGACTCCCTTGATGTCCAGCGGCGTGGTTACATCCAAGATGATGTCGCTGTACCTTTCCTACTGGAGTCGAAGCTTTCTGGCGATGATCTCGCTCAGATTTGGGACCTTTCGGATCTGAACAGCGATGGCCGCTTAACCCGAGATGGGTTTGCCATTGCTTGGCACCTCATCCAGAGCAAACGCAAGGGGGTGCCCATTCCCAACAGTCTACCACCCACTCTGATACCGCCACACCTAAGAAACACCGGCTCTTCGGCGTTTGCTGCTACGCCGGCGGCAGCAGCACCTCCCCCTCCCGAACCAGTCAAGGACCTCTTCTCATGGGATGATCCTGTGCCAGTTCCTCATGCGGCTCCGCCTACCGTGCAGCCCGCATCGCCTCAGCACTCGGCATTCCCTGCTTCACCGTTCAATGCACCCTCCTCCGGTCCGCAATATATCATCTGACCTTTGTTTATCGGTAGCTAACGCGTTCTCCAGCTCCGCAGAGGGACTTGCTTGACGACGATGAAGAGGCCGTCTCACCTGCCCCCGCTGTTCAGGAGCAGGCAGCTGAAATCGGCAACCTCCAGAACCAAGTCAACTCCACGAGTCGCTCGCTTGCAAGTGCCCAAGCAGAGCGCCAGGCGCTGGAGACCACTCTCGCCAATCAAGCAGCGCAGTTGTCAGCGCTTGAAACTCAACTGTCGACCGCCAAGGCTGCGTTCGAAACCGAGAACAAGCTGCTGTCAGGTCTCCGCGAACGACACAGCAAGCAGACCGCGGACATGAATACGGTCCGGGAAGAACTCATTCGTGCTGAAAGCGATCTCAGTGCTGTGCGCGTAGAGAAAGCGGAGATCGAAGGCGCATTTCTACGAGACAAGGAGGAAGTGCGCGCGCTCCAGAAGAAGATGGTCGAAGCTGGGCTGGATATTGAGACAGCGAAGCTGGATGTCGAGAAGGCCAAGAAGGAAGCAAAGCAGCAGAAAGGGCTTCTTGCTATTGCCAAGAAACAGTTGAGCACTAAGGAATCGGAGCGAGCTAAAGCGGCAAAGGAACTACAAGAAGCGCAAGCTGAAGCTGCTGCCGTGATCGCTGAGAAGGACCACGTTGACCGGGCTATCGCTGAGGTTGAGGCTCAGCCTGCTCTAGAACGTGCTACCTCTGGTGACTCGTTGGCTTTCGCTGCGTCTCAGCCGCTGCCCACCAGCCCGGATCTAGGCAGTCCATCGCACGCGTCGAGTATCAAGAGCAATAATCCCTTTGACCGGCTGATGGGCAATACCACTCCTCGTCCTCAGTCTCCCTTTGCTTTACCGGCCGATTCCAATGCTTCAACGGACCCCTTCGGCTTGAATTCTGCTTTTACGGCGGAAGGCAGCGAAACACCTCACGCCGAGGCTTTCCCTGCTGAGACGGCTTTCCCTGCTGAGGCGGCTTTCCCTACTGGGACTGTTTCTACCGAGGCTGGTCTTTCGCCACAGGCATCCGAACCCATCCCACTTTCCCCCTCTTCTGAGGATGTCAGCGACAACGATGTGTTTTTGACCCCCGTCACTGCTACGGGCCCTGGGTTCCCGGCCATTGATGACGTTGTAGCCACGGCTTCTCCAGCTGCGGCAGCAGAGCCCAATGGCTTCGACCACTTCGAGCCTAACAAAGAAGTCGCGAGCGACGCGACGACGGTGAAATCACATCTTCCCGATCATGAAGAACAGGGCGAAACGAATCTCAACGCCCAGCTCAAGGAGTTGGACATCCAGGAGTCGGATAGCGACAGCGAGGACGAAGTTCCGCTGGCGAACATCGCCAAACGAAAAAGCGTCAACTTGGACACCCTGCCTGGTGCCAATGATGAACTGAAACCTACTGCGGTTGAAACTTCCTTCGACGATGTGTTTGGCTCATCGGAGCCTCCGGTTTCTTCTGCGTCTGGGGCGACACCGTTCACTGATGCCTTCGGGATGCCCTCTGTGTTCGATGGGGCCAGCAAGTCTCCGCCTGTCGCCGATGTGTCAGCCTTCGATGAGGCTCTGGGCAAGCTGCCTGCGAGTGCCACTTCGCCTGCTCAGTTCAATGCCTTCGACTCGGCATTCGATGACAACTTTGACTTTGGCACGAGCACCGGTGCCGCTGCTCCTGCTCCTGCCCCTGCTACCCAAAGCAGCTTCCCCCCTCCGCCGTCTTCGAACGGACATGCTGTCTCACCCTTGCCGGCTAGCGCAACCAAAACTGACTTTGGAAACATCTTTGGTGATTCCCCAGCTGTAGGCAATGGACCGGCAGCGGCCAATGGGAGCGCGACCTCAGCTTTTGACGAGGCCTTTTCGGGGTTTGACACGAATCCGAACTTGAAGAACCTCAGTGCCTCGCTTGATACTACAGCTGCCGTCCCCTCGGCTGCGGCTGCTACAGACGAGCCTCTTTATGCGCCGCCACCGTCTTCGCCGCCAGCTGCGCGGTCCATTTCGCCTCCGCTCTCGCATCGGTCGCCGCCGCCGCCGAACCGGGCGTCTCCCGCCAAAGGTCGCAGCTCAATCGGGTCAATGAAAGAGGAGAAGGAAAAGGAAAAGACAAGACGAGGACTTCTAAACTCAGTGTAAGTCTCCTGCGCAGATGAAGGGTGATGCTATTTGCTGACGCTTGGCGTTCAGATCCGTCTTCCGTTCGGCAAGAAGAAGCACAAGGACAAGGCCGAGGCTGTTCCGTCGACGTCGACGAGTGCGATGACTCCCCCTCAAGAGGAGCCGCCGACGGGTGTTATCGGCGAGGACGACGATGTTCCGTCTGTCAAGCAGCTGATTGGGATGGGATTCAGCCGCCCGCAGGCCGTCGAGGCGTTGGAAGCATACGACTACGATGTGCAGAAAGCACTCAATGCATTGCTCAATGTGGCGGCATGAATGTATAATGGCCGTAAATTATCGTATGCTACTGTCCCCTAGTGAATAATGGACTCAGGGAATGTTGATCGGAACTCTGAACGGAAGCTCCACTGGCCCAGAGATGCCGTGCAGCCATTTCTTCCAGTCCTGCTGTTTCGCGACTACGGATCGCTGCGCTTCGGTCGGCCGATGAGCGCACAAGACGACCGAATACTTGGAGACATCGCGGAACCGGATGATCAGCGTGTTCGCGCCCTCTGAAAGAAAAGGCGACACGTCAAACAGTCCGTCCGGGGGCAACTGGCCAACAGTGAGTAGTCAGCGGAAGGAGCTATCTGGCACGAACAGCAAATGGCGGAGACAGCGGAAAAGTCGTGACTTGGCCTTCCCATACGGCATCCAAATCCATTTCCCCTTGATTTGTTCAGATAACGCGGTCACACAATGAGAGGGACCGTCACCATTATCCGGCCAAGAACACTCCAGCTCGGGAAGGATCCGCATCATATCGGTCGACTGCGCTTGTTCCAGCTTGGAGTTGACCTCAGACGCGAGGAAACAGAGCAGGCTGATGCAGAGTGCCTCGTCGACTTCACTGTCCTCTTTCATCCATATCATTTATCCGAAGATGAGCAGATTATGCGCACCCCGGGTTCGTGGATCGCCGGTTCCACTTGTTCAACGACACTGCTTGCATCGAGTTGATCGGCACTTCGATCTTGATCTGGCCCTTCGACGAAGGGTGATGTCGAGCCAACACAAATCCTTGGTGGATCCCCGTCTCTTGTGTACAGTCGTCAGCATAATTCTTGTGTGACCGGCGAGCATATCGGCCTACTTTTCGAAAACTGGGCATCCAATGTCGCGCTCGCCTCAGGGAGTGGTGGGTTTCTGTCTGGATTCGCAAGACGCTCGTTGGCCCCATTAATTAGAGAATGCACGATGCTTTGCACAGCAGAGGGTATGTCATCCAGAGAGTCGCCCAGCAACTTGCGCAGGTGTGCTGCTTCTGCCGCAATCGCTTCCGACTCGCTCACAGCCCGCGCAGAGAGCGGAGGTTCAATCGGCTGTCGCACAATCAGTTCAATGCAATGTGGCAGACCGAAAACGCTTCACCGGTTCAGTCTACGTGTCGAAGCATCAGCACAGTGAAAGGGACTTATGGAACGACTTACAGGTCCTGTCATTTCAGCGTCGTGCAAGTCGATTTCCATGTCGACATCGTTGTCGTAGTCCATGCGAAGGCCAGGGTTGGAGTCTGAGACTGGGTCCACCGCTTTCCGGAGAGGGTCTGCGATGTGACCAGGTGCCTCGGGTACCATCTCATCTGCTGGAGAGGTCATAGCCAGTGGCTGGTCAAGCGTCAAAGTCAGAGCAGGTTCTATCGCAGGAGACAAGATGCGAGGGTCTGCAGCTACGAAGAGTTGTCCAGCCGCGGAAGATGGTTTTTGAACCACCACAGCAGGCGCTTGAACAACTGCGATAGACGGCGCTTCATCTCCAACAGACGGCGCTTCAGTTTCAACAGACGGCGCTTGAGGTTGAACAGAAGGCGCTTCAGCCACACCGGGCGCCTGTTCGATTCCAACATAGGGCTCTGCGGGCGCCGGAGGCAGATCAACTTGCAGATTGGAGCTCCTTGAGATCTGGGCCTGGGAAGCCAGCTCCAGGACGGTTGGCGCGGTGAGAGTTGCAGGTGCAATCAAGGTTTTATCTTCGACAGGAGCGAGAGACTCTACTGCAGGCTGCTCCACCTTGATGGGCATAGGCGCCGAGTCTTCTTCGTCAGCCACTTGGATCGGGGCTGCAAGCGTGCCCTCGCCCAACTCAGCTTTCTCTTTGGCCTTGCTGATCTCCATCTCCTGCTTCCGTTTTTCGACTTCACCCTGCACGAATCGAGAGAGATCGGGCTTCTTCTTCTTCCTCCTGGGCTCGGTCTTGACGGCCGACTTGGACGGCCCAGCCTGTGCTGAAGGAGTGGTCGGGGACGGCGCGACGGTCGATGCTGGTGTGCTTGGACCCACATCGGAGGCGGTGGCCGTTGGAATAGAGACAGAGGCGGACAGAGAAGACGGCTCGGATGGCATCGCGGTACTAGAACCAGCCACAGTGGGGATGGCCGATGTGAGCGCGGACGCTAGCGAAGACGAGTTGGACCGGACTTGCTGCATCTGAGCGGTATTCGGGCTCACGTCATGTGACGACTGCCTTGTGGAACGTCAAAAACCTACAGATATCGACGTGAAGGATCACATACTGTGGAGTGGGAGCCTCTTGCGAAAGGCTCAGCTCGAGGCGCTTGGCGTTCCGCACCAAGGTCTGAACGGTTTCTGAGTCCATAAATGTATCGCTTCGCTTTGGCACGCACAGATGTTACACTCACGCTGGAGTTCGGGTTCGACGAACAGAGACGTGAACTGAGCAAGAATTGTGATGAGACTGGTGTACGCCTGTGCATATTTTGGAAATTCTGCCGGCGAGCTTTTCTTGATTTCTCCCAGGGTTCGTTGCGTAATCTGACAGCAACGGATTTGAACAAAGAACGCGGTCTTTCGCATCCGAGGAGCAGAGGCATACCAATAGGATATTGACTATTTCCGGCCGCGCCTCAAAGTAATAAGCCTTGTCGCAGTTGAGCCAGGACCCGAATTTCTTCGTCGCAGCGACATAGTATTGCGTATCAGCGAATTTCTTCTTGAGAACATCGAATAGTCTGACAGCATCTTCGGTCAACAGAGAGGCACTAAGGGTGCTCGAAGAGCCCTTGCCTCTGGTTGAGTCCTGCAATGTCCTGTCTGGTTGCCATTCTCCCGGAGAATGTGTTAGTTGAACTGGGAGCTTGGAGCGTAAGGACTTGCTCCTCGAGAGATCATTGATCACCTCACGGTCGTGAGCAAGCAGCACCAAGCAGCCTTGCTTCTTCAAGTTCTTGATCCTCTTCGCTCAGAACGAACAACCGTGGCAATGGTCCCTGAGATACACGACGTGGACACCTATTCAATTCTCACTCGGATACAAGGGGGCTTATTGTTTGAAGCCGTCCGGCAAATCGCGCCGTCAGATTTAAACTTTGGAGCCCGCTCTGCTGCAGACATCCACACCTTTTCGGTAGTCTTATGCCATCCCCCATCCCACTCCATTAGGGAGACCCTTCAACGCCGACCACACCACTCCCCGTCCTATCCCTGACGCCCATTGACACCATAACTCAAGGACATGCTCCCGATGTCGCGTTCTGTCCTCCTCGAGCCCAGCTCACTCTACATCAGCACAACCCAACTCACCGAGAGCAAGTTTCACTGGGCCCTGATCGCGACCGATGCCGACTGCACGGCCATCCGCCATCATTGGCACGAGCAACCAGACACTAAGCCTGGGTGCGCCGAAGGATATGGATTCCAGCGGATACAGCCCAAATCTTTGACTGGCCGCGTCGTCCTCGGGTACTACAAGATTGTCGGCTACGCGACGCCTCCCGCGCACGTCTTTTACGACATCTGCTCGTCGACTTTCGCGAGCAGCTTCGCGACCGTCCACGAGAATCGACGGAACGGAATCACATGTAGGACGTGGGTGATGCAGGTCCTCGCCGCCCTCTGTGCGGGCGGCCATATCACAGGCTACATGGGGGGCATAGACAATTTCGTTAGCTCCTTGGAGAGGGTTGTCACCGAGCAGAGCCGGAAAGCCGACAACGCGTATCTGACCACCTTCTATCGACATCGCACTCTTACTTTTGTTTCAATGGTCATGGCTGTATAATAAGTGTGGGCCCCGTGCGTGTATCAGTAGTCGACGACCCCCCGGAACAACACCGCTCCCCGGTTTCGTTTTGACAGATCGCGATCACGGAAGCAGATTTTGGGGTCGCAGCGACGATGAGTGGCCATGCCGCCGAGAGAACGGTGATATGTTGAGCACTGACAACCACGAGGCTGGCGGCACGGCAAGTAGGGATCATGGCTAGACGTTGATGTCGTGCTCTCTACAGAATCTAGGGGTATAATAGACGGGGTTCGCGGAGGATCATCGTCGGCAGATCTAGACCGAGCGCGTGTATATTCGGTCCCGTCTTCAACTTCGAGGGGTGGGTTGTCCTCCGATGCAACAGGACGCAGACCGAACGACTCTTCCGACTCCACCGACATCCCATCCGACTCGACTGACTGCTCGCGGGTGCTGGTGCTCGGTGTCGGAGGGGAATGAAGCCCGGATGGCTGCGACTTGTATCCGTGCTTTCGCTTTCGATGGCGGTGCAAGGAAGATGGATCTGCGGTGGCGAAATCGCATTTGGGACCGGTTGGCCCGCTGACGAACTCGGGGCATTTGAATGGCTTCGATCGTGTACTGCACAATGCACACGCGGTCAGCGAGAGCAGCCAGGTGATCCAACGACTGTGGAACGGACTGTGTTCGGATATGTGTGGCAAGATTAGACTTTTGCAGAGTCTGGTGGTTGCATCCCTGCGCTTGGGTTAATCTTGGTTAGATCCGGGTCCGTGCGAGCCAATTACCTCGACCGGACACACAAACATGCTAAAAACAGATGGCCATTAGAAGTCCAGGCTGAGAATGGGGTTCAGAGCTGACAATTTCTCTTTGTTCTCTGCATGCAATAGCATATGTCGCGGCAGGTCCGAGGTTCGTTTTATCGAAGCACCGCACAGGTCGCATATCGCACTAGACACACTGGCGCCTGATTGTTGCTTCTAGCATCAGGTTCAGGCCAGATTAAGGGGAGAGAATGGCTGAAGGGAAAGCGGGGCTCACTGCAGGCGTAGAGCGAGCCATTGATGGGGGGCACACACACAACGGACTGTTAAGGCCATATGGCTTAAATATATAACCGTCATGGTGCTAAGCGCAGATGAATGATTGCTTTCCAAGAGAAACTTGTAAAGGAATGTTTGGAATTTCCTCGAATGGAAAGGGGCAGTTCTTTTCCTTTGTCGCGACCCTCTAGGTTTTGCAGAAAATCACAAACAGATTTACAAGGATTATGCTGGCTGCGTAATTTTTATAGTATAGGCGGGCTTGCAGACGGCCATGGGCTACATCGGAATTGGATTGATAAAAATACATGCCGAAGTTTCATGCAAATTAAACACGAAGGAGATCGGACTTAGAGACAAAAAAAGTGACCAACTGGGGCGCCTCAAATGCCGGCGCGTCCATTTCACTTGAGAGACAGCAGCTACTCTGATGCAGATATTTCTCTGGTCAACCCCAGGCGAATCATCCTCCGAGAAAGAACAGAAGCGCCAGACCGGGAGACCAGGCCAGAGGAATAAGCGATACGCGGGAGGTCCCGCTCCCAAAGCACTTTGTTACAAAAGAGATACCCCTCCTTGTTCTTATGATGGTGAGGCGTGTTGATGATAAGCGGATTTCTTTTGGTAACATGCAAGGTTGTCGGCTAGTTTGCGGATGACAGAGTGTGCTCTCGATATGCATATATCCGCCATAGGACGGAAAATATTTCATTCGTGTCTTGATAGGTATACGAGCCATATTTTCGCCTTGATGCAAGAAGAGGAAAGGCAACGGATGCACATTCGATATCATACAAGCAATCGGCGTCAAGGGCACGGTGGGGCGGAAAAGAAATTGCGTGCGAAGGTATGACATCGGTCGAAGTTCAAATCTTGTGGCATTCAAAACGAGGGCTTGACGGTTTGAACGAGACGACGAAGATGGTAGAAGGTGGATCGATAGATGCTTGTGAGAGAATGTGACGGTAACGGACCTCGAACACATGCTGATCATTGATGTCCCTGTTGACTCGGTCCGGTAAACTAGAAAGCGCCGACTGCGTCGGCAGAGGTGCCTTGCTCTAAGTCCAGACCCCCATACACAAATCACACTCATCCACGACACAACCAATACACATACGATACACAATTCATATACTTTACAATATGCTTGCAAGCAGGAGAAACGCGGCTACCTCATTGATTGGTACCATACACACACACACCAGCTCTTCTTCTGTGGGCTTTCAGCCTCGTTGTCTGTATCTCTGAGGGCCAGCCTTCCACGTTTCAGTGGGCTGGGAGCCATCGCCTGATTAGCTATGACCCTCATCTTGACAATGTCTGCCAAAATCAGATCTTCCTTTTTAGACTGGAAAGCAATGTGCGAGAGGTTAAAGGTGAGCATCACCGTCACCCCTCTCAACTTTGACATGTAGCCCTCGGGCGCAATCAGTGCACCCTCTTGATTGTACGTGGGCAACCCATGCACAATGTGCATTCCTTCCTTGCTCATTTCCCGAATAGTGTTGCGCCCTTCGGTTTGATGAGCCGGCCAATCCTCCAGGTTGTGCGCTGATTAACCCAATCAAAAACAAGAAATGTGACCCCTCGAAGCTCTTACACCCTTCTCTCAATGGATCTTCCAAGGTTAACTGCCATCAAGATATGTCAGCAATTACCCAAAAGCTTGTTGCATAGTGGCAGTCACCTCAAAAGGGATGTGGCGCAATTTGAATCCCCAAAAGTGGTGGGAGCAAATGACAAAGAGCAATATGGAGGACAAACAGCAGTAAAGGAATCCAGAAACCAATTCTTATAGGAGAAGCCTGTTCTTAGTAATCAAAATACGTTGAGACAATCTGAAAGCTAAATGAAGAGGCGGGGCAAATAGAGAGGCGAGTGACACTGTAGCGCGCAAGAGGAAATGTCAAATGTCATGTCATTACATTGTTACATCGGAAAAAATCGGTATGTCACAAACGGATCAATCCGGCACTATTTTGATGCGAATTATGGGGGTGGAGAAGCCTTGTCAAGCAAGGCAATCCGGTCAAAGCTTTATGAACTTCACCAGCTTAGACAGACAGCCTATCTTCAATGGCAATGATATTAACAGTACTCATGCTCGTTTAGCAATTGCTTAGTGCCGAATACAAAGGGGAACAAATAATTACTCATCGACATGTCAATTTATGCAGATCACGTGAAAGATCTCTGCACCAGGAGAATCGGATAGATCGAGCTGAATCGCAGCAGGGAGACTTGAGAGATTCTTCGCTAATACAGCCAAGATGTGGCTTCATTCCAGCTCCAATTCAGACCATATACCCTGGTTTGCAAAAGGTGAGACTTGGTCCTCAATAAGACGTAGCCACTGACCCAGCACCCAAGATACCAGCGGCTCCGACCTGGTCCGCCAACGCCGTTGTGATCACCCAGTCTGGGACTGCGACGCCCGTCCTAATGGGGAACAGTCTTGCAGCACGTTCCAAGCCTTCATTGTCCGAGCCCAGTAGAAATAGCAGCCGCGAATTCGGGTTGTTCGGGTGGGGATGGAGGAATAAGACACCTGGCGTAGTCAGAGTTCCGTTCAAATAAAAATATCGCCAGTTCTGATACCTAGTCCACTCTGGTCCAGTGGTCGATGTCGCACGCTAAGCCCGTCGTTTGTGACATGGAACGGTGTCGGCGAGTTTTTCATTAGCATCGCAAGTTCGGGATCATGTGTGTCGCTGATAATGAGCACATTTCCCTTGGGTTGAGTGTCGCTCTGGTAACCCATAAGGATTTCAGCATCTAATCTGTGGTACGCGTTCAGGTCATGGGCGATCCGCAGCGCAAGAGACAGATGCCGCGAGTTGGACTTGTCAAGAACGATCAACTGGAATGGTCCAGGGGTCGAGAGGAACATCTGGACTCGTCCAGGGAGTGTCATTCCCACATTAGTCGAAGTGTCACCCGTCACCCGAAGCTGCGGTTAGTTGAGTACCGGGCTTCATGCTGAGGAGATGAACGAACCGTCCATTCTCGACGATCGTCTCTGTCAAAGACGAACAAATCAGCGGCGGCTGATTCCGGCGATAGTTGCAACTGGTTATCCACTTCGACCGACTGAGCGGACCACCCTTCTCCCAGGAGCGAGAAACTGCACACATTGGAAGTGGTGACGACGATTCGCCGCTCACCGTGATGTTGCACAGTCAATCGAGCTAGCCTTGGCCTATTCAGCATCGATGGAATCAGGCCGGATAACGCCGCACCGTCCCGGAACACATAATTGCTCTACTTTCCATCCATGCAACGAGCCACTTTCGGATGGATTTGCCACTGTCAGAGTGTATCGTGGAGAGGGACGACTCGATGGTGACTGCAGAATTTGATCGAGGAAATCTTGGACTTGCTTGTTCTGCCGTCCCACGTGAGCGAGAAATCTAGTCCACAAGATGAGCACACCACCTTTAATATCGTAGGATACCAATGAAGCTCTCCCGGATCTTCCCGAAAGCTTGAATGGCTCAGAGATTGTTCCGCCCGACAGCTACATGCACGGCGCACCTCACATTAGCTGCAGGATTCCACGTCTGCACGACACTGACTGCTTCTCGGGAGTGCCAGACCGGGACATTGTCGTCGCTTCCTCTGTTTAAGCGCCAGGTCAGATGAGGATGAGGTTAGTGGAGTGATGCACCGACCCATGAATAGCAAGAATCGGGGTATCAATCAGGTTCGACAGGAACAGATCGTTATTATCTGGGGTCAACGACGAATCGAGAATAGCTTGGGTCATAGGATCGATGTAATGAGTCGACCTCGACATGGCCCAAGAGACATAGGCTTGAGATTTGATGTAGGCAGCGGCCGGCACAACTCCAAGAACACGATCGGGATAACGCGAAGCCAGATACCAAGATCCCTGCCCCCCGTTAGAATGACCCATCAGAATGACTTTGGGGCTGGGTTCCGAGAGCTCCCACGATTGCCATTCAACATTGCGTTTGAGGATGGCGCCCAACGCATCTACGGAATCGAATGCTTCTTTAGCGCTTGGACCATGCCAGTCCAGACCCTGAGATGCGCACGTCCATCAGTGGTCCCCTCTCTCCCGAAAGATATCGCGCACCCACGCTGTACGACCCGAAGGTGCCACCAACCAACTATGTTGCTGTCGGGGTAAAGAGTCGATCCAGAAACTTTGGGACTGGATGTCAACACCAGCCCCATCTAAATTGACATGAGCTTCTGGTGCATAGTTTTTCTCAGGCCAGACAACACACGTAGACACAGGACAGGAGGTGCGGCCCGTCCGTTTTTGAGCGGCGGCAACGCAGCAAATGCAGTCGGCATTTCTTCAGCGTAGAAATACGTGCCAAGAAGGGAAGAGTTGTAGCCACTAAGATGCCGGAGGGAGATGGTGACCGGCAGGGAGATTTTTCGACCTGCAGAGGAGAGAGAGAGGCGGATTTGGAGGTTTTCATCGTGGAAAGGCGCCGACTGTCGAATACGCAACGGGACGATTCGGGTCTGAGACGGAGCGAGAGCCGTCGCGCGCAGCAGATCTATGCTGAAGTCGGGGGAGGGAGCAAACAGCAATACGCTGGTTACATTCCACCACTTGGTGTCAACGTTGCGAACGCCCAAACCGAGCGCATTACCAAAAGAGTAACCGTCAAGGAAGTCGGCGACAACATTCTGACTCGACTCGATCTTGAGTGGTTCGATCCCACTGGGAGTTTCTAAATCAACGGAAACTCGAATGCTTTGTGTTGGCGCTGCCTCCTTCGGATCACCAAACAGTCGGATCTACAATGGGTGGTCACCGGCCAGCGTCTTGGACAGTATTTGAAGTGCCTGTCCGCACCTCATAATCTCCGCTAACGAAGATTTCGTATGTTGTTGGCGCTGTGAGGGATGGAGCTGTCGGAAGTTGGACGGTCTTGGGAAGTGTTCGCTCCAGAGCATAGATGTTCCCAGCGTGCCATTCTGCCGGTGCAGGATCGTCGGGACTCACGATGGAAAAGTACGAGCCCTGGATCAGTTGGACGAGAAGCTGTGGCATGATGACCGACGGGGATCTCGTCGTGGGCGGATAAACAGTGAGTGTACTGCGCAATAAAGCGTGGTGTTGTAGGGCGGCCCAGCCTTCAGTAGCCCGCAGATTTGACCATCTATCGAGGGGTGAGCGGTCTCAGAGCAGAGTGAAGATCATCGAACCTTATTTCTGGAAAAGAAATCTTCAAGTCTCCATCAAGGCTGGCTTCGGCTTTGGACCAAGCGACACGTCCATTATCGGCGTAAGCCGAGGGCCAGGTTTGGTCAAAATCGATTGGTTGAGACAGGTTCAAGGTAGGAAACGACGGAGAGACATAGTGCTGCTCTCTGGCGTGAATAGGAAATGGCCCGAGTACCTGTGACATGGTAAGCTCTTCCTCAAACTTTACTTATCTCTGTCGACTTGCGTCCCACGACCGCGACAACTCGATGCACCACACCCTACTGTCATGCATAGGTATTTGGGAAGCCAAAGCCGCCGATGCAGCAGCGAGCAGAGAATAGACTGCAAACATGCCGCTGGCCGCTAGACACACGCGCTGCGGGGACTGACTCAACCGTGCTGCCCAAGTCTGAGCGCGATTGCGTCTCACGTGCTCGGTGAGCGATTTGATATCGGGTGGCAGTGCTTCTGCGACTTATTTCATCACTCCGGACTCGAAGATTTAACGACATCAAGCTTTCTAACACACAGAATGTCCGGCAGACAAGGCGGCAAGCTCAAGCCATTAAAGGTCGGCAATGGAGAGACCAATCGGAGCACGATCTCACAACGATGGCCGTAGGCTCCCAAGAAGGAGAAGAAGGACGATGACGAGGACGATGCCGCCTTCAAGCAAAAGCAGAAGGCTGATGCAGAGGCTATGAAAGCCGCTCGGGAGAAGGGTGCGTGTCTCGCTCTGAGCCATGCTGACGTCAATAATCATGCATGTCCACAGCTCTCAAGGGTGTGTGCACTCTTACGGATCGATAAGTGCGCGGGGGACCCGCAGAGCTGACACTGACCATCTTAGGTGGTGCTCCGGGTGGCGGAATCAAGAAGTAAGCGTCTACGCGAAGTCGTATGCACTCGGAAACTGATACGACCTTCCCTCAGGTCGGGCAAGAAGTAATTCACGAATGCTGTACCAAGGGCTTGACTTCCTGGTGCATGTTGTACCCTATAGCTCGGGAATGAGAAAGTTCTGAGATCTGAGATGAAGATAATCCAATGCGCGTTATGAGAGAGGTTCGGCCAGGAAACGTTGTACATGTTTTGTAGTATCGTCAGTGATGGCGGGGCAGCACGTCGTCGTTTGTCCTCCTCCATGTTGCAAGGTCTTCAGCCAGGGCAGCAGCAGTCGCCTCAACCTCAGCCACAAATATTACCTCCCCAGAATCAAATACCCCCGCCTCCTTTCCAGAACGGCCAAGACTGGAACCTGTCCAGTGTTCTCCACTACCTCCAAACAGAATGGCGGAAATATGAACGCGACAGAAATGAGTGGGAAATCGAGCGCGCGGAAATGCGGGTGCGCTCATTCTGCGCAATCTACACCGTCGCGCCATTCATTGCTTTGCCAGGCTCGAATCGCGCTCCTCGAGGGCGAGCGTCGTTCTTTCGAGAACGTAAAGCACGACCTGATGCGCAGAATCAAAATGTTGGAATACGCTCTTCGCATGGAACGGTACTTACTTTCTCTGCACCTTGCTCTGACGCTCCTTGACGTTATTGGTCTACAGGTCGAAACAGCTCACTCAACCTCAAAGCACGACCCCGCAGACGATCCCCCCGACCAAACTTGCTTCCATTCAGAGCATTGCCACCTCCGCATCGCATAAGGAAGACATACCCGGCCACAAAGAGGAGAGTAGCGGCAGCTCGCCACGAAGCGAAGGTATGCCTTCTCGCCTCCTCTCTATTCTTCCATCTTACCTTCTGACTCCAGATTCTCCACTACCTGACGCCCGTATCAATGGTGGGGCATCCATCGCACAGAGGCCGAACTCGTGGAGCAGCTCTACATGGCTTAACGGTCCAACCGGAGGCACAATAGCTGGGTTAGGTAAACCTCCCCCTGGTAGAGATCCTAAGAGCAGGGCTCGCAGTCGGGACTACCTCAAGCAGTACGTATTTGAATACGAGTTGCCTTCTACTGACCACAGCTTATGACATAGATGTTTGCAGGAAATTTCTTACTTGACCTCGCCCCAAGCGATGAACCCCCTGCCCAACCGAACATTGCTCAATAATGGCGGCATGCCACTGGCTATTCCCAATGCCCCGCCCTTTGAACAGATGGCTTACAATGGCCGGCCACGAAAGCTCCTGCCCGATGGCAGCAAAGATTTCCCCATCTTGAACGGCAACATGAGCCTGATGTCGGGTCCTTCGTCAGCCCCTGCTGGTTCCGGAAATCAGCTCAGCAACCTGGAGCGATCCAATCCACTTGGCTCGGGAATGATCCCACTGCAGCATGTGCAGCAGCAGCAACAACACCACCAGCAACAACACCAGCAACAACAGCAGCACCAACCACCGCCAATGCTGATGCCGCAACATAATACCCAACCACCTCCGCTCCCAATTTCTTCGAATGATCGAGACCGGGAAGTGGACCCGGAACCTCGTCAGGTGACAGCGATCTTCAGGCCCGATGATGCGGGTGAATGGCGGGAACGGCTTCGGCAGTCACACGAGGCTGAACAAGCTCGCTTGACACGAGATCCTCAGGGTTGGGAGCGGAGGCCGGATGAGGAAGACGCGAAAGATGAGGATGGCGAGGTAGAAGACGATGAGTCCGGTGTAGGCGATGGTGAGAGCGGCAAAGTCTGGCGACCGAAGCGGACTCTGAGGAAGTACGTTATTTCCTCCGTTCCAGGGGTCATTTGCTCAGAGTCCGCGTGTTTAGCCATCTCGATGCCGTCAGGGCACTCGCCTTCCACCCCCACGAGTTGACGCTTGCTACCGGTGGAGATGACTGCACGGTGAAAATATGGAGGATGGATGTGGCAGGCTTAACTTCTTCCTCGTGAGTTGTCACAAGCTCTCTTTGCCCCTTAATAACATTTCAAGATCACGACCCACCACTGAGATCGAACCCCAACTGACTTTGCGCGGACATTCTGCTGCCATTACGAGACTGATCCACGCACCTTCCCGAGGACTATTGTACTCGGCGTCGCTTGATTCCTCGATCCGAGTCTGGGCACTGCCAGCTCCGTCTCATACGACATATGCGCCGTACGATGAGACACGCTCTCGAGGAGAACTGATTGGACATACGGACGCGGTGTGGGACTTGGCTCTGGTCCGTGACGAGGGCACGTTGATCAGCTGTGGTGCCGAGGGTGCCGTCAAAGTCTGGGACGTCACCGGGCCTTCGGGTGCGGGATCTCTACGACTGTCTTGGGGTTGGGCCGGCCTCGACAGCACAGAGGACGACGGGGGGTCAGATTCTCCAGGGGCGACCACTGTCGAGGCAATCAAGGCTGATCTCAAAAAGATTGCCGTGGCTTACCAGAATGCTGTCGTCAAAATATTCGAGATCGAGACAGGCAAGGAGTTAAGCAGGCTGCAGACTGATATCAGTTACGGTACGAGCAACGACTCCGTCTCGCATTCACAGCTAACCTTACTCAGATGGCACCCCTGCGACGCAAATCAACCGGATTGCATCACATCCCACCATGCCTCTGCTCGTCACAGCACATGAAGACAAGTACATACGGATCTTTGATGTCGTGACTGGTATGTGATCGTCAGGATGCAAGCCATGCTGTGTTCTGACAGAAATCCAGGACAATGTACTCACTCCATGCTGGCCCATCTGGACGGGGTCACATCGCTGTCCATCGACCCTGCAGGATTCTCGCTTGTGTCTGGCAGCCACGATTGCTCGGTGCGGCTGTGGGATCTGCTCGGAACTCGGGCGTGTGTTCAGGAGATTCCAGCGCACCGGGAAAAGGCCCGCGAAGGTGCGCTGGACGTCGAATTCCATCCTTCTCTGCCCTTCATGGCGACGGCGGGTGCCGACGGCGTAGTCAAGTTGTTTGCGTCATCCTGATCCTGAGTCGCTGATGGTCCTGCTCTCGTCTTCGCTTTCGTGGACCACATTGCTTTACATAGTCAGAATGCTCATCCAGGATTCTTTCTTGTACATATCTGACTCTAACGACTAGTAATGAAAATAATGCAAAACGCACTGCTAAGGCTACAAGAAAGGCTATTTATTGATACACTTGTCCACAGTTTCACAGAACAAAGATTCAGATCTCTGCGGGCAAAGTCAGTTTTGGCTGGGGTGCGCGCATGAACATGGAATAACAACGCACTGATGCGCATGCCCTGGCGCACAGCGATGATCTCTACTCCCAATCGCTTCGAATCCAACAGAGCACGTAGTTGGTCAATGATAATGGTCTGGTTGGGACGATCCGCGGAGCCATCCAGCGTGTCTTTGCAATGGATGACATACACTCGGACCCCATCTAACGCTCCCTCCAGACTCGGATTCGTCCGCTGCCTCTTCCGCAGTGGCCGAGCAGGCACAGAGATCGGGCTGCGGCTCCGCACGACCTCCGTGGCCAGTACCTCGAGCTCCCGCACCAGATGTTCTGGCTTCAGATGCCCGAACAGCAGATCGTCGGGTCTCGCCGAGGGCCAAGAACACTCGATGAATATCGCGGACAGCGTCGCAGGGATCTTGGGCGCAGCAGCGCGCCACACGTTGGCCGTGCGCGGAGACTCCGAGACCGTGTCGGGCTCCACGTCCCCGAAGAACAGGAGCTCTTGTCCAGATGGGTCGTGTCGGATGAAGTAGGCCGCGGAGTCGCAGGTCCCAGAGCCGTTGTGCCCGTGACTGACCGGCAGGCCCCGCACGGATATCGTGGGCATGAGCGTCGTATACTTGAGGCTCGTCAAGTCCAGTCTGAACGACGTGAGTCAGCTAGTGAGCCGGGACCAAGTGAGAGGACGCTCACGGAGAGTACAACAACATATGGTCATCATCATCCTCCTTCCAGGACGCAAGATTCGGCCACAGCCGATCCGAGAAAACGCAGGCCTCCAGATCCTCGAGTGTATGCTTGGAAGCGTAGATCCGCTTCCGCGGCCCCGTCAGAGACCCCGCAGACAGCACCAGACTGGCGATATGGTCGAGATGCGCATGCGTGATAAGATATCCCCTGCACTGCGATAAGCACACGGTTGCGGGATGGTGGTGGCATAGTCATGGCGCACCGAATGGACGAGTACACCTCCGCGGCGGAGAGGGCACGCGACACGGGCCGTTCCGGGTCATCGAGCAACGCCGAGTCGCGCTGGAGCAGCTTCTGCAGAGTCCCTTGACCGGAACCTGCTGTTCCTCAGCCTCGGAAAGCGACAGGATGGTTGGAATGTGAACGTACCAGCCTCGATAGCGAGAGCACCGTCTTCCCAACTGGACGTAGCTGGCTTCAATAGATATCTGTAGTCTCGTGAGCAGCCGCAGGCCAAATCAATGTAAAGGTCACTCACGCCGAGAGATTCGTCTCATCGGGACCTCCCCCTTCGCCTACCACAAGCAGATCCATAAGTATGACAGTGGATCTGAGGCGTAGAACGTGGCGTCGGTGGCGGGCAGCCCGTACTCAGACGGCGCGTGCACTGAACGGGTGGAGGGAGGCACGGAGGGAGGGCACGCCTGTGGAAGGCCGACGCGTTGAAGAGAGCACTGGTCGTGTGATGCCGCGTCCGTGACGGCCCTTTATCAAATGGAACCGATGGGTGTTAGCCATCTGCTAGCGAATAGTGCGCCATGCCACCATCGACTGCGCTGACCTATCTTGACTCCGAATAAGTGCATAGACGAGTCGGGCACAAAGGACGGGCGCCTCGTGTCCCGCCACGCGTATGTTCATTGCACTTTCACTGCCTTCCCTCTCAGTGACAGCAATTCTTGAATGATCACGAGGAAACAGAAGCTGCGAGAGGTACAGGAATACATATAAGCTGTACAAGGTGCCTTGAATGCACGCAAGCGAGACAGCATATATGGAGGCAGTGTAGCTTTCGCAACACAGCGAACGGCGCACACTTGTGTTCAAAAACTAGACCCTATCGTGGATCGAACACGAGACCTCGGGATGACTGGACAAGTAATTACAGCCTATATTGCAATCCCACGCTCTAGCCACTGAGCTACAGAGTCATGATCGACGCCCGCTTGGGACGTTGTGATATATGTTGAATGAGTTGGACGTTCACAATGAGGCTTCATTGCCGGCTTCATTGCCGCTTCAGCCGCCCCAGCCATTCACTTCTCATCATATCCTCACTGAAAATGAGAGCCACACATCCACTTCATGAGCACAGGGGTAAAGAATAATTGATACAGAGTTACAGTGGACTTGACCCAAATAATAAATGGTACTGAGATAGCGATGATAACAGCGACAATACTCTACTAGTAGAACGACCGCGCAACCTGCAGCATATTCAGCAGAACGATCACGTCATAGCAGGGGTATTACGGACACTCTCCAACAACATGGTTATCTCGGGCGCAATCCGGATGAAATCCTTGCTCCAAAAGTCGTACTTGGGGTTGCGCAGCAGCTCGATGAACGTGACGAGCGCTCCCCAGGGGTGCGGCCGGTGCACAATGAAGCGTTCCAACATCACTTTGGTGAGAATCTCCTGGAAGCGTTCGCTCGGCGCTTCCACGAACAGATGCAAGATCAAAGAGCTGAACCAATGCGTGTGGGCATTCGGGTACCGCAGTTGCAGCAGTACCGCGCTGAGAATATGGTGCTGGCCTGGGAGAGACTAGTCAGACGACGAGGATGCCAGAGAAACCGACCTCCTACCTTCGTCATCGAGATTGGTCACCAAGTAATGCAGAACGACTGCTCCCGGATCAGCGGAGGTGAACAAGGCCGACCCACTCCGCGACTTGGCTTGCGCAACAGACGACACGCCGGTAAACATAACCAGCGAGTTGATCAACGCCAAATTGTATCCCTCAGGGGCCGTGTCCGTGACACCTGGCAGCCTCAAAGATGCCTTCAGGGAGGGCAAGAACGCGGGTCCCCCGCGGCCGAGCAAGAAGTTCTCGAGAGCCACGCTCAAGTCGCCGAGCTTCAGGACTGCCGAGAAATCGGACAAGATCGCAGGAATAGGGCCCATCTCGGGAATCGAGTCGAGTGACCCGATCCGGACGTACGGATCCGGCAGAACCACCGTCGGAGGATAGGCGCTCAGAATGATGTTCCGCAGCTGGATGCATCGCGCTGGAGTGGCGTCGCACAGACTGAAATAGTACTGTGCGAGGAACTCCGGAAAGTCGTGCAGAAGGACCAGGAGAAGTCGCAGAGCACCCCGATACAGATCCTTGGACGCAAGCTGCAGATTGACCTCCTTCAAGAACGGAGACAAAAACTTGAAGAGCGACAGAAGCAGCTTGTGGAACGCCGCCCAGCCCTGGTAGTCGATTAGATGATACAGCTCACATCTACGACAGGAAAACAAACCTCTCGGTTCTCCGACAGCAGCAACTTCGGCATAAACAAGCGATGCGAAATCAAACACATCCACGAGAACGCAAAACCCGGGAAATAGGTCGGCTGCAGCGAGCTCAGAGTGTCACTGCACGAGCCAATTCAACAACGACCCAGAGAAAGCAACATAGAGCATACCTGATCGCGATCAGCAATTGAAGATAGACTTGTCCAAGATGCGTCTCGATGGAATGCAGATCATTGATCAGACTCGAAAAGAATCGGAAGAACGGCTTTTGCTGGAAGGACAAGCCCTGCTCCTCGTGCATATTGGCAAGCACGAGCACGAAGATCGACAGAATCTTGGTCAGATAATGCACTTTGGCCTGATCGTTGTTGACACCAGACGCATCGCCGTGGTACTTGATGATGTACACAATCAATCGCGCCATCGCATCGAGCGCCTGGAACGAGCCGTCGAAGTCTCCGCTAGCAACACTCTTCACGTAGTGGTTAACACTCGACTCTGCGCAGACTCTGAAAAAGAAGGACGACAGGTCTTCCACTTTGAGGATCCCGTGCTTGGTCAGCTGGGTAATGAACGGCACGAAACTCTTCTCGGGCGAACTAGATCTCTGGAAGATCTGGACCCATTGCTGGAAAGACAAGAACAGTTTCTCGCGCAACTGCTCAGTCTCAGGCTTGACCGAAGGTTGCCGCACAGGACTGACGCCTTCCCCAGCAGACGGACGACGGATTCCACGCAGATCGTCCAAAAGCCTGCTTACACTGCGAATGATCAGGAAACACGACACTGGATACAGAATCAACCGAACATACTCTTCGCTGCTCTTCCCCGTTTGCACAAGTTGGCCCATCACTTCGATCGAGAACTGGAATTGACTCTGGGTCGCAACTGGAGGATCGGCAGAGAGGCATTCTCGAACAAGCGCAGCGGCGTAGTTCAAAAGTGAGGGCCGAGGGTCGTTATACAGCGCTTTCGCAAGCTGCTGATCTTGCAGAGAGATATTCAGCAACCCGCTCCGCAGAAGCGTGACTGTCACTGGGACGTTGAACTTGCGCTGTAGTGTGGAATAAGCGACATCACAAAACCCTGCTGTGGCACAAACTTGCCTCGTCCTCGGCATACAACAGCCACGTGATGGCCTCCTTGGCCACATCCTCGAAGGCATGGCAAAGCTGCTCCAGCAAAGCGACGTACAATTCTCGTCCAAGTTGCGACTGCGATTTATACAGAAGCTGGACGATCTTCTGGGACATTAGAAGGGGTGTGCGAGTTCGGTCGGTTGAATCTGCGGCAAGATGCATGATTTGCCCAACAAGATGCCTCAGATCGTGGTTAGCAGGAATGTTAGTAAGCACACTCTGCGCTGGAACCGAGGACAGCACAGCCTCCAAATCGCCAGTGAGAACCGCGAAACGCTCCATCGCTTCTTGATGCGTCAGATAGCGCGGGGCATCGAGGGCCGGCGAATGGGAGTATAGACCTGGCCCGAACGACGCAGAAGAGCTCGGTCGACTGGTCGGAACAAGTCGCTTGGACTCCAGAGCTGCGTTGTCGTCGTACGAGGGATATCCCTGGGACCACGTCTGATCGACCGCACCAAAGTCCTCATAGACACTGGCTTGGTGGGCCTGCAGGCCGTTCGGTTTGACACGCAACGGGTCAGGAAGCGTCACCGCAAAGCTTGAAGAGACAGCTGCTGGATCCCAGAAAGGCACCGTCTGGCGAGTCTGCATGCCCAGTTAGTTAGCGAGCATTGAGACGGCTCACAACTTACCTCGCGATGTCGCCGACGAACTTCGAACGAGGCTGAGAATGCTTCATCAACATCAGCGACGGCCCGCTCGATAGCAGCCTTTTCGATAGCAGAGCAGGCAAAGTCCAAGTTGTCTTGAACCAGAATCAATATCACAGTGTCGGCGATCTGCCATTGAGTCAGTACTCGCTGTCACACAGGACAGACTGCATACCTCGCTGTAGCCGTTCTCAGACAAAAACTGTCTCAGGTGCGTCGCCATGTTACTTTTGAGCGGCTCCTTGCACGTAACCAAAGCCAGACTGCCCGCCAACTTCTGGGCCATCAGATGCCCCGCCTTGCGCAACTTCTCCTCGCTCGGTTCGGTAGCGAAATCCTTGGTGACTAGCTCCCTCGTGGAAATGCCAGCAATCGTGACCGATCGCTCAACGACGGGAAGGATGATCTCGCGAACAGCTCGGTCAATCGCAAGCGTGACAACGCGTTTGAATGTCGGGTTGACATTCATCGGAGCCAGCTGCGAGCTGATCTGGATGTGCAGCAGGAGTGCAGCAAGAATGGACTCGATGTGCGCTCCCATCGCGCGAGAGCTGTCTCCAGCCGTTGCAGACCCAAGAGGAAGCACGTGATTGTCGCTAGCCGGAAGGCTCGATGCATAGCTGTCGATAGGGAGAGAGTCGATATCTCCAACGTACTCGGGTAGTGGCGGACCAGCGTCCGCAACAGGCCGGCTTCTCAAGACGGTAGTGGCCTCGACACCGTCCAGATCAATCTCCAAAGTTTTGCAAAGCACCTCAATCTCGAACTTGAGATTGAGCTTCAGCTCTGCGAAGTGATACAGCTCTGCAAGGAAGCTGACGATGCCCATCAGCCATGGGTTTGGGGGCCGGAAAACCTTCGATTTAGAGCATGGCTCGAGGGTCTTGCACACAAATGGAATCGCCACGATAAGTCTCCCGCTGTCATACCCCTCGAGCAAAAGTTCCTTGAAAGCGATGTGTTTGTGCTTGATAGGCCGATCGCGTGCGAGGGTGATAGAACCGAGAAAAGCGGCGACGTTTTTCAGTGTCGTGCGGTCGGACCCCGAAGAGACTGAACGCTCAGAGTTGATCATAGCTGCCGACTTGACGAGTGTCTCGTGCAGAATGAGCTTGGCAAGAGGCTTCCTATCCAGCGCATCGAGGAACCGCAGGTAGAGCGAGTGGTTGTTGGGCTCGGTGCTGATCCGCTGGTCAACCAAATAGTGCGCAAACCATCTCGCGTAGACATCGTCAAAGTGTTCCTTCATCTCAGCCAGCTTCGCATCGAAATTGCTCGGCGCAAGGTTATTGATGATGAAGAGGATCCGATCAGAGAGCTCTTCTGGCGGAGTCTGAACTTGACCTTCAACCTGGTCTGGTCTGATTGCAGTGAAAACAGGCATCGAGTCAAGATTGTCGGCTGGGAGAGGATCGCTGGGGGTAAGCCCGTCCTCCGCAGCCGCAAGTGCCCGCTGGAGAGTGGCGACAAGATCGGGGCGAGCTTCCAGGAGGTGAGGGATGCGGGTCAGAGCAGAGCAGAAGGCCTGCCATTCGGGAAGTCGGGATTCAAATCGGCCGAGAGCGGTGAGGCCAAAGCGGAACAGATTCGAGTCCGGATGACAACTGAGCGCATCGATGACGTAGCGCATAGCGATGAAAAGCGGGACTTGGTCGATCAGCCTTCGCTGAATCAAGGATCCAAAGAGATATCCAGTCATGGCCAGCTCGCGTGGCGGATAAGACTGGAAGAACTTGTACTCATCGAAGAGGAAATGAAGCATGCAGGAAAAGATTTCCTGTTCGCGCGGGTTTTTCGAGTCCTTGTATTCGGCGAGCATAACAATGAGATCGTCGATGGTCGTCTGCTCGTCGTACATCTGGCGATAGATGCTGTCAACCTCGGCCTCGATCTCGGGAGAGTACGAGACGACCGACAGGCCAGCCTCAGTTTCGGGATTCGGAAGCATGCTGGCCAGCCGGGGGTGTATCTGAAGACACGCATTCTTGACCTCCACGTAGTAACCGGCATCCGCCTCGCTCATCGAGCTTGCACTGTTGCGGATGACACGCAAGATGATAGCAATGGTGGTCGGGCTCAGAGACATGGTCCGGTTTTCCACAGGAGGATCGGACAGTCGAGCCGTCTTCTCGCTGTCCATCTTTTGGTCGAGGAATAGGATGATAGAGTGCACGAATTCAGCGCCATGGTGGGCCACATTGTCAGCCAGCCACTTGTCGAGGTTCAGGTATTCCCGTCTCGAAGCCAGTGCGGCCACGTCAAGAGCAAACACGAACGGTCGCACTTCGAGGAGAGATTCGAGAATCTGTATGACATGAGGGCCGCGAACGTACGCAAATACACGTCAACGCACTTTGAGGTCCTGGGCAACGTCCAGAATGCGAGTGATGTTCAGCGGATTTTCCTCGTAGAAGTCGCGGAAAGCATCGGTCAAATAGGACGGCTCTATCTGCCAGATGCGCATGAACACCAGTTGGTGGTTCGGATGCCCCGCAAGGAACATCCCCAGCAGACGCCGTGAGTATTCTCGTCGGATCTCGTTCCAAGGAAGGTCCTGAAACGGTTCAAGAAGGAGAAAGTAGGATGTCCATGAGCACTCACCGGGACTTGCAGCAAACCCATATGAACAAGCTCTGCGCTGATTTTGATCGCCTTATCCAGCATTTCACGAACACAATTCCGGATCTCGATAGAGTCCGAATCCGCCAGGCGAACGAGAACCTCAAAGAGCTCCAAAGAGTTCCAGGTGTGACCTTGGACGTTCGCTGCGAGCGACTTGATGGTCGGACTCGCGATCGAGACATCTTCGACAGTGACAATGCGCCTCCCTGGAAGACTGACAAAATTGAAAGTGTCGCCCGGCAAGGACAACAGTGCATCCAGCAGACGAAGCTGGTATAGAGAATTCGACCACGTAGTCCAAAAACCAGTGACAGCGTGTGGGTCCGCTTCCCTAGGGCTATTGAGCAGGATGGCGATCAACAGCTTCAGGGTTGCAGTATCGACACCATGTCTATCAGGTCGGTCAAACGACTTGATGACACTGGCCCAATTGAGCTGGACATGCTGTGAATGGTAAATATTTGACCAAATTCAGATCAAAGAAACCTACAAAGCTACTCAAAGCACGAACAAGAGCGCCGACGTCACACAAAGTCGTTCCTTCCGAAGCTAAACGAGACAAAGCGGAGAATGTTTCCAGGATCATGGTGTCCTTTGGTGGATTTGCGTCAGAGATGTTGAAGCGTGCCAGGAGAGCCCGAACGACATCTGGATCGCTGGTAATATCCGGTCCCAGCTGTACAAGGGTCTGGACAAGAGTCGTGCCGGGCGGTAAACTAGGCGACGTCAATGACCTAGTCGAAAGACCCACGGTAGCACGAACCTCAAAGTAGGCATGATACGTGGCAACATCGGGAAAATGACGTCTTTGCCATACTTGGACTGCCCAGCGACTATGAGAGCCTGTCTTTGAGCGGCTTCAAGCACAGGTGATTCGAGGGGAGGATCGGAGAGGAGGTTGGCCATCAGTTTTGCGGCTTGGGTGGGAGACAAATCGACCTGTTCAAATGCAGGGGTGTGGCAAAGGGAGACGACAGCAGAGTCGAATTCAGCACGGATGATCGCAGAAGCCTGGTTGGCAAGCTCCTTGCGGGTGGGGGAGGAGATGATGGAGGCGGCGAGGATGAGTTTCTCGAGAGGACGAAGGGTAACGCGATCCGTGAATCGTATGAGATCGAAATTCCGGAACAGCTCTCCCTCGCCTTTGTCGATGCTGTCTCGGAATCGACTGGCGAGAAGGGGGTCGCGTGCGAGCCGTTGCGTCTCTTGGATCAGGAGCCGGAAAGTCAAAGAATTGGCGAGTTCGAATGACGAGGGAGGTGTGGCGGAAGTTAGACGCGCTTGAGAGTGGACGATGAGGCGGCGAATGAAGTGGAGGTAGGTGTCTATTCCATGCTGCTCCGACAACTGGCGCGCGTTTGAAAAGAGCAAAATGAGTCCAACAATGTCTGCCCACGACAGTAAAAAGACATACGGAGCGGATTTCAAGCTGATTTCTCTCGAAGTTTTCCTCGGTGAGAGTGGAAAGCAGGAACACGATCTGAGCTTTGACAATGGTATGGATGTTGGTACTGGACGTCGGCGGATTGTCCATTGACCGTGAAGGGGTCACCGAACGTCGAGTGCTTCCCAATCCAGTCGCAATCGTGTTTCGAGTTCAACAGAGCTAAGAAGAGAGTTGGAAGAATGCACAGTACGCCAACCCAACCGCGCAACAGGCGCGCCAGACTCAACGCTTTCAGACTCCGCTCGTGTGACTGTGACCTTGGATAACGTTTTCGTCACTAGTTCTCGATTGGTAAGCGTGAGTAGTAGCGTGTTCCTCAAACCAGATTTTAAATGTACAGATTAAGCTACCGAGTGACCTAGTCCGAAGAAAGTGAAAAGTAATAAAGATACAAGAGATGCAGCTAGAGAGGGACGGAATTGGGACGGTGATGAGGACTGGGCAACGACAGAACCTCCAAAGGAATTGTCATGGAGAGCCGCGAGGGCATTCTGGCACAGACCGGTTTTCTTGACTACATCTGCTGTGCCTAGGACCACGGGGACCCCTCCTTTGGTGTACTCGACCCCAATGTAACCTTGAGAAGCTGCCACAAACTGCCGGCATGCAACGATGCTATGGTTCGATCAGCAAGTATACAAACAGAGGCTCGGGCGGCACAACACACTCGATTGCCACAGTTCCTGGAGGCCACGGAGACTTGAAGGCTATGTTCGTCTATCGAAGATGAAGATGGGCAATCCGAGGACGACGACAAAAGCAGATTTACCAGATTCTGAGAGGGGCTCCCAATATTCGTCAAAATCACAACAGCATGCCCTTTCTGGAAGGCGATGCCGTTGCTATCCGAGGCAAGCACATTCATCTTCTGAGTCGCCCAGTCTGAAGTGTTGACCAAGTAATTCCGCATCTGGAACTGTCTCAACTTGTCTCGGGAGGTGCGTGCCTAGACAGCCTACCTGATTGAGCGACGTAATAAGCTGCAGTGCCGTGGTATTGGTATAATTTGACGGCCACAACGGCTCGCGATTGTACTGAAAAGTTGGTATTTGAAGATTGTCACATGCGTTGACCTTCACATACAGGATCTGAGTTGCCGTGAAAGCCTTGTTCTTGCCCATAGTAGACAATGGGGATGCTGTAGAAAGTGGGTTGTGTTTGGAAGTGTTGAGCTGACCACCTACCCATCGGAGAGGAACGTGTACGTCATTGCATTGCTAGGTGGTCGCGTGAGGAACTGGCCAGCAGTAGTCCAAACAAGACTCACTAGAGACTCTGAGGATCAACAGACAAGTTACCCCAGCGCGGGTTGTCTTGATTCTCTAGGAAATTTCCCAGTCTGGAGCAGATCCTTTAGACATAAGAATCTCAGGTAGGCTTGTTAGACTGACACTGTGGTGTCCTATGCCATCATCAGTGGGAATGACTTTTATAAGGGTAGAAAACAGCCTGACCGTGTATTGAGCATTGGATTGGTTGAGAATGTCCACTAGAGCGCTCATGTTCTGTGGGCCTGGCAGAGCAAATGCGGATACAAGAGCGTGATATGTTGGATAATTGAGTACCGAAGGCTGGAAACTGATCAGCTTCTCCGGGCAGTGTGCCCGATGCACTCAATCTCACAAGAGCATCAGTCCCTTGATACATCGACACGCTCCTGCAGGAATGTTAATAGAGAAAAAGAATGCCTCAGCGTATGGACGAACGGGACATCGACATCGTCAATTTCTCCCATCGCAAACACACCAGCACTCTTGACGAAAGCGGGCCAAAAGTCTTTGCGAATGTGCCTAAGAACAGGTCAGTACTGCTTTAGCGCGTTCAGAATCCTCACTTGGCAGCATCTATCCGGAGGCCATCAATGGAATAGGTCTGTACGAGATTGGCAATCCAGCTTTGATATCGGGAGACCACGTCTGCGTTCTCGGTGTTGATATCGGGCAAGGGAACGACAGTATCTCCTAGCCAGCATTGTTGTTCGCTCGTCAGGTTGGACCAGTTAATGCCACAGTATGGATGGTAATGGGCCTGCTCGCGATTGAGAGATGTCCGATCACAGAGCTGGCGATGCTGACCGCGTCTTTGAATAAATATGTGCTGAGGTCCGGCGTGATGGATGTTGCCCTGTTTCTATTCAACAATCGAAGCTCGAGTCTGTCTCAGGCGAACGCACATGACATTGTTAATGACAACGTCGACCTGTTCAAATTGGATCAGCGGCTTCATTAAGTGATCCTTGGATACGAACCATGAGATACCTAGCAGCAATGATTAGCCCAGAAGCATGTTACATATTAGGGACTCACATATCCCGGCGATGCAGCTCTGCAGACAGTGCCTTCAAGTCGTCCGATGTCCCCATTTTATCATTCAACTGAGATATGTCTGCAGGCCAGTAGCCGTGGTAAGGGTCCCCATACGCTGTCCTTGGACCTCCGTAGTTCTGGTTGACTGGACTGATCCAGACTAGCGCGTGGCGTGAGTTCCTTCTGAGTCAGGGACAGCGTGGAGAACGCACTTGCGGTGAAGCCAGCATTCTGGATGTAGTCCAACTTATTCATTATACTTGAACACGAGGTCGGGTCGGAGACAGAACGAGACAGGCGCGCCCACTCACCCTTTCCAGGTCCCACCACACCAGGTAGCTTGGGAAACGACGCATTCATTGACTACGGCTCCTGGTTCGAGAGAGTATCGGTCGGTGATGATTCTGGGCGACCAATAAGTATGAAGATAGCTCGCAGAATGACAGTTTCCGACTGGTATATGCTCCGGGTCTATATTCCTGGAGTGAGAATTAGGTCCGTGGGCCATAGAAGCAACGCACCCTCCACTGCTCGGCCGTCGCGGCTAGGGCTCCTTGGAGGCTACCAAGTCCCAATAATGATGCGGTAATGAGCGAGGGCAGCATATCGCTGTTGAAGTAACGAGGGCGGGAAAGAAACGAATGTGGCGGCCGCGATGGCCCAGAAGCTAGTGAATTTGGAACTAGATGATGTCTCTTCCACGCGACCCTAGCACAGCCTGGAACAAGAATTCACGCCGAAGAGAGGAGACGGTTGAGTCGGAGCACGCTAGTAGAGCGGGCGAGAAGGATGCAGGCTGAGAAAAGTCCCAGAATGTCTTTACTACGAGAGCACATGCCATCGGGTGATGTTGCACATCACATTGACATCAGCCGACAGTAGACAGGCGGCCAGACTTCTCCGCATCTTGCTTCAGTCCCGAACACCGAGAGAACACGCTTTCGGTTTGGGGCAAACAGGTGCCTTGAAGAGAGGTCTAGTCAAGGTTACTTCGGAATTAGCCACGGCAGGGCGCTCCGTGTCACGATCACTGTCAACCCCGCAACGCCACAAACGCGAACGGTCGGCTTGGCCGACATCTTGCAAGAACCACGTTGTGCACACATGGCGCAACGCTTCAATGGAGAGTCTTTCACCCGAGTCAGCTCATTCAACATTCTACCTCCTCCCCGTTCTGAATCCTGCGTAGTATGGATGGTTCCTTTGCTCGTGGATTCTTTTGTGTGTGCTATCATCTTTTCTTTGATTCTCTGTACTTATTCTATAGAATCCCGTTCCAATACGGCTATCATATATCCGTTCTCAATCAGATACAAGCTGTTCTCACCTGTAAAGAAGTCGGCCCCGACACGCGTCCTCACTATGGCCTACCGACTTGTATCCCCAGTGCGTATAACCTCGCCTCGTCAAATCCACCGCTCAAGAGTCAGTGTCCGATTTCTCCTTCTCTGTGGTGACTGCGATCTTCACCGTGGGCGGCCTCGTCGGTAGCATGAGTGCCAATATCTTCATGGACCGAGAAGGATGGGGACGTAAAGGTGCCGCGCGCTTCAGCGCGCTGTTGGTCGCTGTAGGCTCTGGCATCATGTCGATTAGTGCCTCGGTCAGCTTCCTGTTAATCGGACGGTTTCTGGTTGGAATAGGGTCGGGCATCGGCATCTGCCTGGGACCCATATATCTCGCTGAAATTGCTCCCTCTGGAATTAGCGGCAGTGTCGGTGCGACGCGTTGGGCTTATGAGCAACAGGGCGCGATTTGACCTCTTTGCTGCAGGTGTCTTGACCCAGCTGGGCATCGTGCTAGGAATTATGATCACGCAGTGCGTGGGCCTACGATTTGCCACCCCGACCGAATGGCGCTCTGTTCTATTTCTCTCCTTTGCCGCCTCGGTTGCGCAATTATTCCTCGCGTCCCTTATGGTCGATTCGCCCTCGTGGCTTGGAAGCAAGGGTCATTCAGAAGCCAAGATGAGTGCTGCGGTGAGAATATGGGGGTCTTTCCCAACCAATGGCAGGTCCACCCTGTTGCTTGCTACGTGTCAATGGCCTGATGCGCCTTTACAGCATCTGTAGAAGACCCGCTACTGGATAATGCCGAAGCTGCACGTGGGGGCGCGGGAAAAGCGCTAACCGTTCCCGAAGTACTGGCGGCCGGCGATCTCCGGCGACCGTTGGCTATCGTTTGTTTCGCTATGTTGTCCCAACAACTTTCAGGTGTGTCTGCTTGCGATTCTATTCTCACCAGCGGAGCTGATTCGGTTTCCCAGGCATCAATGCTGGTCCGTTTCCTGTCTCTACGAAAGGGCGGGTACTAACTTGCCGTCCAGTCCTCTACTATAGCAACGAGATCCTGTCCGTCTTGGTCGCTGTCCACGCTTCCACTACTGATTTCTTCAATGCAGGTCCAAGTCTCTGCCAGACCTGGGACCCTATGTTTCGTTGGGCATCACTGTCGTCAATGTACTGATGACCTTCCCGCCAATCATCCTGATCGAAGTAAGCATGTGATAAAATGCGAATCTTGATGGGAATTGAATGTTGGCGTCGGCAGCGCGTCGGTCGAAGACGATTGCTGGCGCTCTCTACTATCGGGGGCATCACCTCACTCATCCTCGTGGGCTTTGGGCTCAATTCGGGCCTTGTTACACTTGCGAGCATCGCTATTTTGACCTTCGTCACGTCTGTTTGACTACATTCCCCCGAATTGCGCTGAACAGATCTCGTAGGTCCTTCGCGATTGGACTGGGACCCGTCCCTTTTGTGCTGGTGCCGGAAGTCTCACCCTACCATGCCGTCTCTGCGCTGTCATCCATCGCGCTATCTCTCAATTGTATGTCATTGCACCATTGTGCACCCGCAGGCAGCTGAGGACTACTGCCAGGGATCGTCAACTTTCTTGTGGGTCTGGTGTTTCTTCCATTGCGTAATCTGCTTTCGCAGGGCGATCCGTCGAAGGAGGGTCGCGTCTTCTATCTTTTCGCCATCGCACTGTTTTGCTCTATGGGTATTGGTTTCCGGACAGCAGATGGAGCGGGGCGGAGGATGTGATGTGGACCGTCTAGTATCTAGTTGACACCGACAGGCCCTTGAACACGCGTCGATGTCTGCAGTCAACGTCGAAAATAGTTTCAGATACTTACTGATGTACTTGATCTTTTGATCCAACGACTATACCGGCCTGGCATGGGCTGCCTGATTTGGCTCACTGTCGTCAGGAAATGTCTGTTGATCACCATGCTTTTGAGAAGTCCAAGTTAAAGATCTGTGGGTGTTGTCATTACAAGGGGCGGCAGTCCGTGGAAGCGGCTAATTATGGTGCATGAACATAACGACGAGTCTAGACTGTTCGAGTTGCAACACGGCCACGATGGTAACAGTCGATCAAAACGGTTCCGCATTGCATAGCCTCACTCTCTGGTAAGTCCCATATCATTGCCCTTCCTTCCCTCTTCCTACCGTTTGGTGTTTCGGCTTCGGTTCTCGTGCTCATTCTTTTGTTCCTTTGCCTCTTTGCCTTGCAGTGTAGTTGCTTGTGCGCGAGACGCAAGACGTTGAACGTCCCTTTTCACAATCTTCACCCTCGACAAGTCAATCTTGGTCAAAGCTTTCAGCAACTCTCTGTGAGAGCCATCAAGCACTCGGCTGAAGGAACCGGGTCATTTGCCAATTCATTCAATAGTGCGTTCATTCTGCTCCTGCGCTCGCCACGGGCACCTGACTCCGGCCATGCCACAGCGTCGCTCTTTGCTTCTTAGACCGTTACAACCACAATGGTGTCCAAGGGATTAATGGCCTTTTGGAGTTTCGTGGACTTTCTCCTGCTGGCGGCTGGAGGAATTTCCATCGCTCTCTCTATCATCTGGCGCAAGCCCGATATCCTCATGAACATGGCCATTTCGTCGGAGTTCTTGACTAGTGCGTGGCTTGCTATCCTCCTCTTGAGCCCCTACTGAGCTCGGACAGCCGGAATGGTTTTGGGCATTGTCCTCTGCGTGACGTTCCTGGTTTCTGTCGCAGCGGTTGTGCAAAGGAGCCATGTAACGATTGGCTTCGTCATTCTCAACTACGTTCTCGTCGCGGACTCGCTCTTCGTGTTGGTTGCGGGAACCATGGTCTGGTTCTTCTCCCTCCGACAGCGGGCCGAATTCCAAGTCCGATGGACGGCGCTACCGACCGCTGATAAAGTCACTTTGCAAGACCAGGTGTGTAGTCATGCGGTCCATCCATCTAAATTACTGACCGAGGGGTGTAACAGTTCCAATGCTGCGGTTATTTCACCGCCGCTGACGCTGCTATCCAAGCCGGGTCGTTCTGCACCTCCCAAGATTTTGCTAATGGCTTGAGCAACGCTACTGCGAATTTCTGCGTTTCACATATCACGGCCTTCACGGACTACACGCTGGAGAACACTTTCACGTTCGTGGACTGATTCTGCTCTATCTTCTCGTTCTCAATCGTCTCTCTAGTACGATCTACGGGTTTATGGCTGTTGTCCTCACTCTTTTGGTGACGTCGCTTTGTGTGATCAAGAAGGTGGGTAATCTGCTTCAATGGAGGAACTGTACTTATGGCATCACAGAGACAAGAAGAAGAACGGTTCAAACGCATCGATGCTAAACGTGGAGGACGCGGTTTCGTCTAATGTGGCCGAACTTACCCTATTTCCCTCTCATCCTTTCCGCTCGTTGTTACATCGTTCTCAGTAATTGCCGGCGTTCCTGAGCTCGTACATGCGGCTCTCAAGGACCCGTACACTGTTTCTTTCCGATCTTTGGCATGTTGATTAGCTTTTTCCCTCGTTTTCCGTACCGAATACCAAGTGTTGTCGAAGGGTTTACTGGCGGGTCAGCAGCACATCGAATCATTTGAATGTACTGCCCACTCTCGCTATGTATGTAATCTACCATTGTACACTGGATTCCCTTCCGCATGCGTGAATGGCCGGCTCGGACTGAAGTGGTCAAGAAGCTAAGCGACTGAGCGAATGTCGATGGACGTAATCGTGATTGGTCGCTGGCTTGCTGCGCAATGGCTTCCTCTCTCGGCTGTTGTTTAGTCGAATTACGGCATAACTCAAGGAAATCGGAGCGACGTCCTAATAGAAATTCTCAGGGCAGATCGAAATTGGATCTCTCTCAAAGAAGCGGACATGATTTCAATCAGCTGCGGGGAACTCTCCCACTTCCCGAGAAGAATTCAGAATCAGAATTCAGGGAATGCACTATCAAGACGATGCGTCGGACTCCTGGCCTATATCTTTTCACATTCACGAGGCAAGGCCGATAGCTGTCAGCATACAGTACAGTAAGATCCCGATAATCAACCACGATTAGATCAAGGATCTTCCATCACGTGCATTCGCTCGAACTTGGGCTGAGCTTGATGGTCTACCAGAGATGGGCAAGGCGAGGAAGAAGAAAGTTCCCTTGACCGCCCGCTCGAGCTCTTCCGTGGCGAACTCCAGCTCTAGGCCTGAGTCAACCCGACAAGTCATTCGACAATACCATGTCTTGCTCAAACAGAAATCCCAGCTCGAAACATCCTTGGCCAGCAAGTTCGACGCCCAAGCAACGCAGAAATTACAAGATGTGACGCGACAGATCGATGAATTGGGTGGCTTGGAGTCCTACCAGCGGATGTCGGTCATAGGTTCGCGTCCCGGTGTCTCAGATCCACGTTGCTCATCACGGGTGCACCCAGGCCAGGGGTCTGACAGAGGCGGTGGAAGCGAGAAAATTCTTATCGCATGGCTCAAGGAGTCGAGGCGGGATGCGAAAGAGATGGTCCCAACATTGCGGTGAGCTTCTCTCATGAGTGTCGGGCCCCGTCCTGAGTGCGAGGTGTGCAAGACTGCTTGAGGTGGGGGCTTTGAAGCCAGATAATTACGCGTCGTGCGAGAGCTGGATTAAGAACACACCACTTGATCTGAACTCCCGGCATCCAGGCAAGCCGTGCAGCGGTCGAAAAAGCACTTGCGGTACTGATGCCTCTTTCCTAGATATTCTCGAACAAGATTTCCTACTCATGGACGCAGACGAGTATCGCGAGAAATGGGATGTCCTCAGTCTGAGTTTGGTACTGAATTTTGTCTCAGACGCGAAAGATAGAGGTGTGTGATTCTGAAATCTGATCTTGATCTGCATAACATCCTCTGCTAGGGCGAATGCTCCGGTTGGCGTGGTCTTTCTTGGTAGAAGGGGGCTCATTGTTCCTCGCTGTGAGTCATGCCTACCTATCTCCTCCGCCTTCTCTGTGTCCCGACATCCGTTCCCAGCTTCCTCTACCCTGCGTAGCAAACTCCCGATATGTCGATTCGCAGTACTTGACTGGTCTCATGGAGTGTATCGGGTTTTCGCAACAACGCGAACGGTCGAGGGCAGGCGGGAAAATGATTTATCTGTTGTATCGCAAGCAGTCTCCCGTAGGCCATACTGCTCCGTACGAGAAGAAAAGTATATTGCGCTCAGGCAACAGGAATAACTTTTGTATCCTTCTGTAATTTGATTCTAGTAAGGATGGTATTCGTGAACTTCGAGGAGACCACTCTAGCACACGGTCACATGCCACGATCGAGCTTTCTGAACCGTCCAGAAGTACAGAAGCACAATCCCCGATCCTGACCGTGGACTGTCCAAATCTACGACCTGCCATTTATACGAAACCTGACATCTACACCATCACCACGCGATCCAGCATGAAGTCTGCCACCCTGAATATTCTTCACTTCAACGACGTCTACCGGTGCGGCCCCCAGAAGATCGTGTCCGGCAAACCGGATACCATCGACGTCACACAGTTCAGCGCGCTCTTGGATGGCCTGAGGTCCCAGTGGGAGCTGCGATCGGACGGAAAGCGAGAGGGTATTTCCACTGCCTCGTTCCGGCGGCTAAATGCCTCACGGTCGTATAGGCCTTGTGCTCTTCTCTGGAGATGTGTTCTCGCCGTCTATCGAGAGCACCGTCACACGAGGCAGTCATATGGTACGGGGTGCTTCGTCGAGCTCAGCGGAGCGCTGAGGCATATATGCGATCCGTAGGTCCCGGTCATGAACGAACTTGCTCCGGACGTGTCATTGACTGGTAAGATTTGGTTCCTATGACTAGGGGCCCTACTGACTGGATGGATCGGCAGGGAACCACGACTTTGACTTTGGTTTGTGTGAGCATCTCTGTTGAATGCCGGGGACGAACTTTGGTAGGATACCGGCAACTGGTGGAACTGATGAAGGCCACGACCTTTGTGCGTGTGCAGTGCTACCGCCGTGTCCGCTGTAATCTGACTGGACTACAGCCCTGGATCTTGAGCAACATCATCGATGTCGACACGTCGGAAGTGCCGCCCAGTTTGAATGCCTTCCAAATTTTCGAGAGAAGTGGTTTGCGGATCGGTGTTATCGGACTCGTGGAGGAGTCAGTGTCGCATTGGTGGGCTTCTATGCTGATCTGATTGTCTGCTAGAGAATGGATCGGCACCGTTGCCAATTGGCCTGCCAACTTTGTCCACAAGGACATGCAACAAGTCGGTATCGAACTATCAAAAACTCTGCGCGGGGAGCACCAATGCGACATTATCGTGGCGTTGACTCACTGCCGCCTACCGAATGTACGCCAGGTCCCATTACTATCCTCCTTGCTTGCTGACATGTGCAGGACATTGTGCTCGCAAAAGGCTTACTAGCTCTATCGCCGTCTGCACAACAAACGAATCCGGTCCACAACACGCACGGAGTCGACTTGATTCTCGGGGGTCACGACCACATGTACTATGCGAGCCGAGGAATGGACGACTGGGAGAACTATGACCGAACCCAGACCCCTCTCGGAGCCGAGCAAGACCGCGGAGATATCTTGGTCTGCAAGAGCGGCACGGATTTCCGTGAACTGAGCGAGTTGAAAATCGAGTTGGAGGACACCCCTGCCGAAAGTGTGAGACGCAAGGTGATCAAGCACATCCAAGGTACAGTCTGAATTGCGGCACCTTTCACTGGCGGCTCAACCTGTCGCTGCCATTTAGGGATAAGACACGTGACCCAATCAGGGTCCGCGTCCTCACCAAAAATGGCGCAAGTTGTCAAGACTGCCCTCTCGTCTGTATCCTCGACCTTCAAAGCTCCGGTCTGCACTACGGTAACAGCTTTGGACGTCCGCTCCCAAGGTCTCCGCACGGAGGAGTCTGGGGCGGGCAACTGGATAGCAGATGTCATTCGACATGCCTACGACGATACACTGTCGATGCAAGGCCAAGGGGCCGCGGATCTTGTGCTTGTCTGTGCCGGTACCTTTCGCGGGGACTCTGTCTATGGGCCGGGCGTGATCACACTGGGTGATATTATGGAGATTCTTCCGTTTGAAGATCCAGTGATCGTTATTGAGCTCGACGGGGCGGCCATCTGGGATGCCTTAGAGTCTGCTTTTGTGACCTGGCCCGCTCAGGAAGGGTTTGTGGTCCCCCTTCGGACCGCGCATTCACGGTTGACTCTTTGATAGCCGTTTCCCAGTCGTCTCTGGTTGTCGTGTCTCGTGGGACTCTCGCAAACGGCCCGGGGAGCGGGTTCTTGGTGTCTGGCTCACCAACGAGATCGAGGACACAGACGAGCATTCCCGTGGAGACTCGCGTATTGTTGACGGCGAGTCTATCGAACGATCGTCTGACAGGAAATACAAGGTGGTCACTCGACAATACATGGCAGAAGGTCCGAACCTGTCTCACGCGTGATTCGTCCACTGATAAAGTGATCAAGGGCACGACGGATTCACTGCCATGACGCGAGGGAAACATCTCATCGACGACGAAAGTGGACAGATCATGTCTGCAATTGTGCGCCAGTACCTGATGGGCAAGTGATATACTATGATCGTTTCCGGGATGCTCAAGGGAATGCAGGATCCCATTACGTCAATACCATGGCGCGACTGAAAGACAATGCGCTGGAGCACTTGCATCCGACAACAAAGTCGGCTATTCGGCATGAACAGCAACATCAAAACACGACCGCATCCAAGTGGAAACACGCGGCTCATCTTGCTCTACAGTGGTCGCGATCCAGACGTCACTATCAGAATCATATCGGTGTCTGTATGAGAGAGGAAATGGACGTCGTCGATCCCATTGACGGGAAAAAGATCCGAGCAGGCCAAACGCAAGAGGGTCATGTTGACACCGGAAAAGATCAGGATCTGTTGACGATAAACCCTTCGATTGACGGGAGATTGAAGGACGTGGGGCGGTGATACCTTCTAACTGTACATACATACTCGCTAGCGCCTGCGTGACCTAGGATCATCCACAGGAATCAGCTTCTCGTTGTCAATCTCGGCAGATTCTCCTAGCAGATTCTGCACATGGTGCGTCACTGTACCGGCGCCATAACCGAGAGAAAATCCACCAAGCGTCACTGCGATCGAGTGAGAGAGATCAACAGACTATGAATGCAGACGCCTACAATCGAGTAGCCCAGCTCTCCCCCAGAACACAGCAGGCGCGATGCATGCAAGAAGGACAGACCCAATGGCAGCAAAGTCTTCTTCTCTGCGTTTGCTTTTCTGCAAGTCCCCGGATGAGCAAGATTCCGTGAGTTGAGTGAAGAGCACAAACGCTGTAAACCAACTCATGACGCCGCTGCCGCAGAGAATCGGCATCCAAGAGCGAGTTTCTCGCGTACACAGCGGCGCCACCGACACCAGCAGCTATTTCAACGTTGAACACCATTCACTTGATTGCATAAAGCATACCTCCAAGACCAGATAGAGTGGACATGTTCATTGCGCGTTCAATCGACAGGCGTTTCCCGGGACGTCGAGAGAACAAAGAGAGGGAGATGTAGACGGGAATCTATGTGAAACATGTCGGTGGGGTTCGAAGAGACAGTATAGCGCGTATATGTACTCCAGCAACAGCACCTAGAGCGAAGAAAGTCTTCATTTTCCTAGCAGTGATGTAGGCCGAGTCGGAACTCCATTTCTCTGTATCACAGCGCGTCGGATGCTGCAGAAGAGACAGGAAACAATTTCACCTGAGGGGAAGATATCTGGAACAGACATGCCGAAGTGTTTCAACGCGCAAGTCAACGCGACTTGGGACTGCTCAAAGTCACTTCTTTACTACTTTCAGCTAATGGTCACGGTCACAGATTTACTGCCGAAATGAAATGTCACGCTTAGTCACAGCTTGACTCTTTTCTCTATACTTGCCATGAGCACGATGCTCTACGATGCGCACGATGCGCACATGTCGGACTACCCCATCGACATCGACATGAGCCTCTCTTCAGAACCGTGGTTTGACCCGGAAAATACGATGCAAGACGACGATAGCTTGGCGCCTGTTTACGACAATGAGAGCACTCATAGCGTCGAGGTCGAGATGGGCGACGACCATTACACCGAAGAATATGAAATGCTCGACGGAAAAGGAGAGGAAGGCCACTATGAGGAGATGGGCGGAGAGCTGGTGGATATCGAGGTCGTGGACTTCACCGAGGAAGAGCCGAGTCTTGATGCTACTCTTCTCCCTGTGGATGTGGATGCCGAAGTGGCACTGGAATCTCTTACTTCTGGCGGCGAACCATCTCTGGAGCCGGAGGGCGTAGGGCTTGCTGGTGGAGACGTCGTGGTTTCCCTGAATCCTAGCATCTCTCCTGGTGCTCCAGATGCGGACTTGCCGGATGCTTCTGCACAAGCGACTCCCATAGTCATCTTTCGGAACCTCGGAGAGCCACATGTGGAAGAAGCGTCCACCGCACCAAGTGAAACTACCATTGCTCAAAACGGCGAAGAAACTGAAAGCTCAGCATCATATCGAGACGCTGTTGCCGAGGGAGAGTCCGCAGGAGATGACGGTCTTGCTGGAACTTTTCATGCCGGTGATGCCTTGCAGTTGCCGGACTCGCTGACCTCGGATGATAAAGTTGAACCTGAAAGTGGAACGTCTGAAGCTCCCATTGACGTGCCACCCGAAGAACACGAATCGGCCGAGGCAGTGCATTCTGAGCCAGATCCCCACGAGATCTCGGAAGGCGTTTACATCGATCCTCCTCCCGCTGTGCTTTTGTCCTTTGAAGACCCGAGCTTTCCTGATATGACTCTCTTCAACCGACCAACACGGTCTCGGTCAGCGAGTCCGACACCCACGACTCCAGGTGCCCACATACTGAATGTTCTTTTGCATCATCAACCCATTCTCTATTATGAGAGTCTGTCCAGCGTATTCGAAGCGCTGCGTCAGGAAGAGTCCATCTCGCAAATGCTGGATTTGGCCGATTCTGAATTGATCCTGGATGCGTATGATCTGCAGTTGACAGTATCCGAAGTGAGTGTGTTCACCGCAGCGTTGTGACTATGGCTGATGAGACCGACAGGACAATGTGCACACTCGAGAAGTCACATTGCACGACCTTAATGTCCTGCATGATGGGTCCAATCTCGTCGGACCACTGCGACTTCGGTTGAAGGTGGTCGCACCCCGATTCATTCAACGATTTCGTATGTTACAGGATCGAATCTCGCGATTGCAGCTTGGATTCGACGAAGAACATGAACCAGACGGCGGCATGTTTCATCATTCGAACTCATCCCTGAAGTGACCTTTTCCTGCAGACCCGGATGAATACGTGGAACCTGATGCAACAGAGCCATTGTCTGGTGGCCTCGAGGATGACAACCCTGTAGCATCGCAGGAGTCCCTCGACCCTCACACTGTTCTGGCGGCGCCATCAGAACAAGCGCAGCCGAACGCGGATGAGGGTGCAGAAGAGGTCTACGAAGAAGCAGCCGACGAGGAAGAATACAACGGTGAGACGTTGAATGATGAAGAAGTTGATCAGCCGAGTTTCGAGGAGACGGTTGATGAAGTTACTGAAGATGACGGAACCTGCGTAGAGCAACCGGTTGAAGACTCTACACAGGCTGCTCAAGAGGAATATCACGATTCCACTGATACCCGACTTTCCCCAGATCATGGCAAAGGTACGCTTCTCTTACTTCAACTGTCTCCTGAGTGCATCTCAGCCCTCCAGCAGAGACCCCCGATAAGTACAAGCCAGATTCATCCAACACCCGAACGGCTACTCCCGACGCTGAAGTGCCGATCGATGGAACCAGTAATTCCATCAACCCGCAGCCAATGAACATCCGCTAACTGGAATCACAGATGACGGTCTCGAGTCCGATCAAGACCCTGCGCAGTCTGATCCTGCCTGGGTTGCTTTGGGCGACGAGGAACAAGACGCCGACACCACTTTGGCAGGAGAAGCCGAGCACGAAACTGCGTCTAATAAAAGCTCGGTTACACTGTCGAGCAAATCCTCGAAAAGATCCTTCGATGAAGTCGGATTCGAGGAGGAGGAAACTGATCCAGCTTCTCCCCCAGGCTCTCCCGGTGTGTTTAATGCCCTTTTTGTAACTTCTTACTGATATTGGTCCAGGCACCAAGCGCAAAAGACTCGACTGAACGTTCTGTCCCTGTTCTCGCATTGATATTCCGCAAATTTCCAGCATCAAGTATTTTCACAAGGCTAGGTTTTCCTCCCAAAGACTATGATTCTTTCTTCGTTTCACGACAGACCTGCTGACATTCCAGACTTGTATTCGGTCTCCTCCGGAAACTCTCTGAGGAGAATGCATTGATTAGTTATGACATATAAATATCCCAGTTTTGCGGCAAGAAACCTGATTCGTCGGTGATTCCGTCACCGTTCGCGTGCAGATTGGCTGTGAACGACAGATTTGAAACTTCGTATCAGACGCTGATACAGTCTGGACGGGTCTGGACCAAGTCCCATACCGATTCGCGGTGCCGAATTCAGCCGGGCACAGGATGCGTATCTAGTTTGCCCCCCAGTTTGGCTCCAGTTTGGACCTGTGAATTTGAGCCCAGCTTACATTGTGCACTACACAGTCATTGCGAGGGAGTGCTTGTAATTTTGCGTGTAGAAACCTTTGGTTCCGCGGTGTGGGCCGGTTTGTGTTCCCTGGTCAATAGCCATCTCGTGAGCGAAGAATCAGGCAAGCAACGACGGTTTCCAGGGCAAGGCTGAACCAATCAGCTGCTGAGTTTCAATTCGGCAGGCTACTTGACTGCATTCCCTTTCTCCGCTTTCCTTATACTTAGTCGTTCTCGGGGCGCTCCCATTCCTCAGGCCGGTCCCTCCTCTTTTCCTTCTTGAAGACTATCTATCTGTTGTTGTTCATCACACGGCCTCGACTCATTCCCTCGTAACCGCAATCGTCTAGACCACCTAGGCCCTCCCAGATTTGTATGCCGCGTAGGGGCTCGATGGACTTCCAAGATCGTTCACCAGATGGCAACTTGTCCCAGCACCCAGACCTCGATGGTCTGAAGCAAAATGGGACATCTCTTACGAGGAACAAGACGGAACGTCGGCGTCTTCAAACCGTTCAGGTAAGCATGCCAGACGTTACATGGACCAGCCACGTTATCGACCATGTTCTCGGTAGCGCTCCGATCCTGTGAACTCCCGGCAGGCGCCTGTCGTCAATACTTTCGGCCAGAAGGTCAGCTTGTGGCTGATCAACGAGGGTCAGCGTCATATCTTCTTCGCCACGTTCATTTTCCTCCACATCATCGTCGGCATCTTCGGTTGGTTCCACTATGCCCTGAAGGATAACTTGACCACTGCCCGGGCCACGTTCGGAGTCACGTTTGGTGAGAAATTTACCTCGGTGTCTGAACACTTGGACTGGACTGATGGGACTTTCAAACAGTCATCGCTCGTGCTGCTGCCTTGGTTCTCCATGTCGATGTCATCTTCATCCTGCTCCCCGTGTGCCGTAACTTTGTGTCGGTCATGCGTCGCACTCCGCTGGGGACAGTCATCCCGTTCGACAAGAACTTGACACTGCACAAAGCGACTGGATGGTCCATCTTCATCGGCAGCGTCATCCACACTCTTGCCCACATTGTCAACCTGTACCATCTCACCATGGCTGACAACAGTCTGCACAACACTGGATCCCGGATCGCATTCTTCTTCTACTCCAACTTCATCATCGGCCCTCTTATCACTGGGTGGCTCATGTGGGCCTGCTTGGGGACCATGGTCTATTTCGCGTTGGAGAAGAGACGGCGTGCGAAGAACGGTGGATTCGAGAAGTTCTGGTACACTCACCATCTTTTCATCCCGTTCTTTATCCTGTGGCAATTCCATGGCATGTTCTGCATGATCAAGCCCGACCGTCCTCCGTACTGCTCGTTCAATACGATCGGTGTGTTCTGGGTGAGTGCTTTCGTCAAACACAGAGCTTCGTGCTGATATTCTGCAGCGCTACTGGATTGTCGGCGGTCTCATTTGGATCTACGAGCGCATTCTCCGTGAGGTCCGGTCTCGCCACGTTACGTTCATTTCCAAGGTCATCCAACACCCGTCGAGTGTTATGGAGGTTCAGATCAAGAAGGAGAAGACCACCATCCGTGCAGGACAGTATATCTTCATCAACTGCCCTGAGATTTCGTACTTCCAGTGGCACCCTTTCACTTTGACCAGTGCACCGGAGGAGGATTACATCTCAGTCCATATCCGTGTCGAGGGTGACTTCACCACCGCTTTCTCCAAGGCTCTCGGATGCGACTTCAGCAGGAAGAGCAAGGATGAGAAGGGGGACAATGCCGGCGGCAAGGTCATTGGGACCAACTTGAACCCTCCCATCAACCGCACTCTCCCTCGTGTCATGGTTGACGGTCCGTTCGGTACATCGTCCGAGGAATATCTCAACTACGAGACCGTTCTGCTTGTTGGTGCCGGTATTGGTGTCACGCCCTTCGCCTCGATTCTCAAGTCCATCTGGTACCGCATGAACAACTTCCACCACTCGAAGCCGACCCGTCTTTCCAAGGTGAGTCAGCAGCGGCTCGTCAATATTGTGGTTACCGATTCGATTGCAGGTCTATTTCACATGGGTCATCCGAGACTTTGGCACGGCTGAATGGTTCCATTCTCTGCTGCATGCCATTGAGGAACAGGATACTCAGAACAGGATTGAGATCAACATCTACCTGACCCAGAGAATGAAGGAGGATGAAATGAACAACATTATCGTGCAAGACGTCGGTGCCGAGAAAGATGCCATTACGTCTCTGCGAGCCCCGACACATTTCGGTCGGCCTGCATGGGACCGCATCTTCCCTTCGATTTCTGCCAAACATCCTCAATCGGATGTCGGTGTGGTGAGTATTGCATGGCCGACTGCTCTGTCATGGTTCTGATTGCGTCCAGTTCTTCTGCGGTCCCGCTGCTATTGCAAAGGCCTTGCACGTGGCATCGAACAAGCACTCTGACCCTAACGGAGGCACGCGCTTCTTCTTTGGGAAAGGTGCGTTACATTAGTGGTATTCCGCTGAACTGATTCTGACCGTGTCCTCCAGAAAACTTCTGAGACGAGTTACCGGAACATCTATCTCTATCTTACGAATGTATATATAAGTACATACATGCTTTCAGCGTGCCGTGCACAAACACAGGGAGCTAGTAGAAACAGCCTTCGCCGACAATGATGAGAGCACACTGGGATAAATGGGACAATCCATCCCATATATGATTGTGGCTGTGAGATGCAGATACTATATCACGTGCATCCGACAATATCTAGGTCAGAGATCTTTACGCAAATTATCTACACGGTCACCCTCGCTCGAGCGTTCGCCGGTACCCGATCCATGGCTGACGCCGAAACGGCGCGTTTGTGCACGCAAATCGTTCATACGCATTTTGGTCCCTTAACAGCCGTGAGCACCCCCCCCCTCCATACCTTATTCCTCTCTCTTCATAATTTCGCAGAATGTCGCGTCTGTGCTCCTGACGCGAGGGCGGTTAACTCTCCCTCAACTTGTGCGCTTCACGTCTATCAAGCCCAGAACTGTCCGGGCATGCATTCTAGCTCTGGTGCAACACAACGTCCTATGGCACGCACACTCCGAAGACGAAGGAGAGGTGCTGGAGTTCAATATCGAAGAATGTCTACTCAGATTGAGATTCGGGCGGTTCGTCTGGCAAGCCGGGCAACTTTTCGGAGAAAAAGTGCGTCGTGAAGCCTGTGTTCCTGGTCTGTTCAACGTTCTCGTAGGCCAGCGAAGTCGTCCAACTCATCCTCGATCACGGAAAGCTCAGGCCCACTGACATCACGCGAATTCTGGCTTCGGGGGATGCAAAAGGTTTTTGTCCTGGACTCGAAGGTTGCTCGATGTTCATGCTCTGCCAGCCGTGATTGCGTACTCCAAGATCATCCATTCTCTCGTAACTTCGGGGTATTTGAAACCGTCGACTGTCCTCTCGCACCTGTCTCCGCGAGATAAACGAATACGATACGAGTCCGAAGAAAAAGCTAAAATCAACGGGTTTCCTACTGCAAAGGAGCTGCGTGAAGCGAAGGAGACTGCGGAGGCTAGGTTAAAACGGGAAGAGGAGGAGGCAGAGCAAGTAGGATTGGTGCGTGACGTGATTCAGCGCGTTTCTTGGGCTCAGTGTGGCTGTAGACGCGGAGACCCAAGGAAGTGAAGGGTCACAAGTCTTCAAAAGTATCATTTGACACTACTCGTTAAGAGCTACTCTCATATCGAAACCAGCGCCAAACCGCTGAGGAGGAAGAAATCGTTGAAGTGCGCCATGCTTCTCTGCGTTTTTCCTCGAGTGCTCACCGTCACTGCAGCCCACGGTATACTTCCGCCTCAACTACGAGAGGTTCAACATACATATCCGCAATGACGTACGTGAGATTGTCCATTTTGCTTTTTCATCTCATGTCTCTTTCAGTTGATCTCTCGAGCGGCAAAAGAGCGGCACAACGAAGGAGCGGCGCTAGTAATCAAAACCATTCTCAAAGAGACAGAATCGAAACAGAAGAGTTTGGCCGAGCCACGAACAGGTATTGCAGTTATTTAGATCTGAAAATTGGCGTTGACGACGGTCTAGATCCGATTTCGGTGTCCAACGTCGCGCTTGCTCTGGCGGACTCCGATGATCTGGCTTCCGGGCTTATCCTCCGTACTAAGAATCCATCGAACACAACCTGTGTGAAGGATTACCTGGGGATATTGTCGTGCGCCGATAATCCAACTCCCGCTGGCAGAAATTCTTCGTTCATCTCGTTCGGGGGCTCGAAGATTCAGGTCGAGTTTGAGACAACATGTAAACGGCTGGGGAGGCGTGTTCTGGAATCCGTAACTCGGGAGCGCCATGGAGCGCCTGGAGTCCGGATCCTGAGGTTGCTGCTCGACACTGGCAAGATGGATGAGAAACAGGTGCGTGTGTCGACTGGGCCCCGAATTCGCTTGATTGTTCTTTTTGGAGATCTCCAAGGTGGTCATGGTCCCCGGCAAGGATGTGCGACCGATCCTGACTCGTATGTCGTCCGAGTCGTTGATCAGCACGCAAGAGCTGGCAAGAACTGCGGATCGCCATCCTTCGCGCATGTTTTATCTGTGGTGAGCCAACATGTACGAGGTCCTTGCTCTTCCTCATTTGTTTTCTAGGTATGTCGACTTGCAAAAGGCTTACTCAGTTGTTATCGGACATCTGTATAAGACGATCTACAACATTGAGTTGAGGCGACAAGTCGAGGGTGAAGAGCCCATGGTCAAGGCCGTACTCGAGAAGCGGCAACGGAGTGACGTGATCCAGGACGAGGAGACGTATCTGTCTAGAATGGAACTCGACACAATCAGAGACTGGGAAGGGAAACGAGAGAAATTGACTATTCTCCAGATGAGAGTTGAAGAATCTGTATTCATCCTTCGAGATCTCGGGATATTTGGTACCAATGACGATGTTTGATCTGAGGTTAGGGCTAGAAATTGTAATGATGAGTCGCGTCAATAGACCCAAATACTCATGGCTTCCTCCTCCCATCGTGTCCAGCTGAACAAACAGCTCTTCAACGCGCGAGTACAGCGTATATACGAGGGATGGCGTGTATGCTCCCGTTCCCTCCCGAACTCGTTTGGATCCTCACTGACACGGATCATCTCATGTATTGCAGAGCGCGGGACAAGACGAAGACTACGCCTCTGTCGCAGACACCGACGCTCTATTGCTGGTCGCTGGCGATCCTGCTCCAGAAGACGAACCTACGCGGAAGGGAACTTCGGTCCAGGTACGTTGACTATCTATTCCACATTTGGTGCCGACGCGTCTAACTTTTTCTTCTTCTCTCACCCTTTTCCTTTCCGTCCATTTCAGCAATGGCTTCTTGGTTACGAGTTTCCATCGACATTGATTCTGTTTGACGAGACGAAAATCACTATCCTGTGCTCGGCCTCCAAAGGTGAGTGCTCTCAGGGCTCGATCTGAGGCGTCTTTTCGACGCGCTTTTCGCAGCCAAGATTCTATCGCAGGTTGAAGGGTCATCTGGGAAGATTCCCGTGGAGATTCTGGCGCAGGCCAAGGGGAAAGAGCCCGCCAATGATTCAATGTCCCGTTTCCTCGACTTGTATACGTCCAAGCGGCGCGTCGGATCCCTCCCCAAAGAGGAATACACAGGCAAACTTATCGATGAGTGGAAGAAGTTGGTCAATGGGGCACCTGCGAAACCTGAAATTGTGGATATGGGGCCTGCACTGTCTGCTTTCATGGCCGTGAAAGACGCCGAAGAATTGGTGCGTAATGCGATGTCGGTGCGTGCTTGCTGACTAAATAGCATACCCTAGAAATGCATGCAGCTCGCTGGGGCTTTGACGAGCACACTTCTCAAATACTATGTGGCTGACAAGCTTGAGTCTATCTTGGACAAAGAATCGAAGGTCACACACTCAACGCTCGGGGCGCTCATCGAGGCTCGTCTGGGTTCTGGAGAGGGCGACAGTGCGAAGCCTCCAGACTCGAGAGTCTGGAGTCGGGGCAAGGGTTTGAGTGATGTACGTGCGGTGTTTTACTACCGAACGGTTCTTTACTGAGTCAAGTCAGATTGATTGGTCTTTGGTGGAGTTTTGCTACCCGCCCATCATCATATCTCGCTCATCCCGCACTGGATACGATCTTCGATACACTGCCGAGTCAAGCGACGACAACATCTCGCACAAAGGAGTCCTTCTTGTCGCATTTGGGCTGCGATACAAATCCTATTGTGCCAACGTGGGACGAACATTCATCGTCGACCCCACGCCTGTGAGTGACTTTCGTGAGACTAGTGACATCAGCTCATGCCATAAGCAGGAACAAGAAAAACAGTACAGCCTGCTTCTCTCTCTACAGCAAGAGTTACTCCAGAAGATCAAGCACGGTGTAACTACTCGCGACGTCTATAACCTTGCACTCTCATACGTCAAAGAACACAATCCAGAACTGGAAAAGAACTTCCAGAAGAACATCGGCTTTGGGGTATGTCTTGACATCTCCTTCTCACCCCGTCTGAACGACATCCCCGCAGATGGGCATCGAATTCCGAGACTCTGCTTACTTGCTAGCTAGCAAGACGAATCGTCCATTGAAGGAGAGCATGGTTTTAAATCTGAGCTTGGGGTTGGCTGAACTGGTCGATAACAGTGGGAAAAAGTAAGTCGACCACGCATACTTTGAAGCATCCACTCACCGCTACTCAGATATGCGTTGCAATTGGTCGACACCATCAAGATTGGGCGAAACGAGTCCAATCTGCTCACTGATGGAACACGCTCGATCAAAGACACAATGTTTTTCCTGACTCCCGAAGAGGAGGAGAAGCCGAAAAAGAAGCCTCCCGTAGCACCTCGGCCGAAGGGCTCTCCGCAGAAGAAGACCGTCGCTGGCAAGGTGCTCCGTAATCAGACCCGTCGAACCCAAGATGAGGTCCATCAGACCGCTGCAGCCAAGCTGGCAGAGCACCAGCGAGAACTGCACGCTGCGTTGCAGAATGCCGGGATCGATAAATTCTCTGAAGAAGGGGAAGGGAAAGAAGGCAAGGAGGGCAAGGGGTGGAAGAAATTCCAAAGTTACAAGGGCGAGGGTGGTCTTCCCAACGAAGTCGAGCGATTGAGGGTGAGTCTACTCGTATCTGTTTGTTTCTGAGATCTGAGAGATATGCAGATTCACGTCGATCGCAAGGCGCAGACAGTCATACTTCCTATCAACGGCTTTGCTGTTCCGTTCCACATAAATACGATAAAAAACGCCAGCAAGAACGATGAGGGCGATTTGACTTACCTGCGCATCAACTTCCAAACTCCTGGCCAGCTTGCGGGTAAGAAGGAGGACACAGTGAGGCATAAACTTCTGTCATCACCTCCCCCGTCTGACACATATCCAGCCTTTCGAAGATCCCGATTCCAACTTCATTCGTTCCGTTGTTTTCCGTTCTCCAGACGGACATCGGTTTGACAACATCTGCAAGCAAATCACCGAGCTGAAGAAAGAGATGAACAAACGCGAGCAGCAGAAGAAGGAAATGGCGGACGTTGTGGAGCAAGGCAATTTGAATGAAGTTAAGGGCCGACGCCCATACAAGTTGCCCGACTCATTTATCCGACCTGCGCTCGACGGCAAGCGGCTGGCGGGTGAAGTGGAAATTCACCAGAACGGTGTGCGATACCAGTCTCCGAATGGACAGAAAGTCGGTCAGTATCTCATGTCGGACTTATCGGATCAAGACGCTGACAGTGGACGAAGATGTCTTGTTCAGCAACGTCAGGCATCTCTTCTTCCAGCCTTGTGACTTCGAACTGTTGGCGATTGTCCACTTGCATCTCAAGGCACCCATCATGATTGGCAAGAAAAAGACGCTCGTGAGTAGATTTTCGATGTGCGGCTGTTTGCGTGAATGAAACTTGCCGTAGGATATACAATTTGTCCGTGAAGCGACTGACGCACAATTCGATGAAACGGGAAACCGAAAGCGCAAGCACCGATACGGAGACGAAGACGAGATCGAGCAGGAGCACCACGAGCGAAAGCGTCGGCAGCAATTAAATAAAGAGATTGAGGCGTTTGCGCAGAAAATCTCCGATGCAGCATCGGCATCTGTGAGTGTTCCCTGTTGTATAGAGTGGAGAGGGGGCTGATGTATCTTAGACCGGGGAAACGCTCGATGTCGATGTTCCGTTCCGCGATCTCTCGTTTGAAGGCGTTCCTTTCCGACAGGCAGTGCGGTTACAGCCGACAACTGAATGCTTGGTGCACCTGACCGACCCACCGTTCTTGGTGGTGACACTCTCCGAAATTGAATTGGCATCCCTGGAACGTGTCCAGTTCAGTCTCAAACAGTTCGATATCTGCTTCATCTTCAAAGACTTTTCGAAGGCGCCCCTCCATATCAATTCTGTGCAGAGCACTCAGATGGACGATGTACGGAACTGGCTCGAGTCAGTGGCCGGATATCTTGCACGTGGCCCGGCTGACACATTCACAGTTCCGTTGACATTGCCATGACCGAGAGTCCAGTGAATTTGAATTGGGGACCCATCATGAAGACAATCAACGATAGCCCGCATGACTTCTTCCGGGATGGTGGATGGTCGTTCCTGGGACGCGGAAACGGAGCTGATGTGAGGACAGGTCTTGTGCAGTTGACTGTGTCTGATGATGAAATCAGAGCGACCACTCTGACGATCAATCGGAGTCCGAATCGGAGTTCGAGGCCGACTCGGATGAGATGCAAGCCGAGAGCAGCGATGACGGTAGCGGTTACTCGGACAACAGCAACGAGAGCGGCTCAGACTTTGGCGACGACTCTGACGATGCCAGCGACGATGGGGATGACTGGGACGAACTCGAGCGCAAGGCCGCCAAGTGTCAGTCTTGTCTTAATCTCATCTGCAGATTCTCATCTTCTTTCTCAGCTGATCAAAAGCGTGCCGATGAAAAGAGACGGCAGGGCTCGGACGACGAGGACGAGGACCTTCCGAAGAAGAAGAAGGCGAACGGGAAATCGAACGACAAGCCTTCGAAGAAGAAGACGTCTAAGCATTGATCTCTTTATCATCTGGCGCATTTATCTGTACTTTGTAGTTTGTAATCTAGACTTTCCTAATGCAGCGTTCTGGCGTAGAAGACGTGTCAAACTTCCATCAGCACAGCTTGGGCACAGCATTGGCACTCTCCGACACCACGACATGGTCGCAATTGTCCCAGACCTGGAGTCTCTCGTGACTCCGTTTGGGTCTGCCACACGCACTAAGCGAGGGTTCTGTCCCGTCACCAAGATAAGACATCAAGGTCGGTATGCCCACAGGCTCGGAAGGAACGTTCACGTCATTCAAGCTTCACCACTTTAGCGGAGCCTCTAGAGAGCCACTCGCTCTACTATGAAGTACACGGCAAGTGCTCCACGTGACTGCCGTGAAAACCACCCGGATCCTGAACGCTCAGTACTTAGGCTCGGGGCCAGAGAAGCTCGTCTTCGTGATGGGGCTCAACAGCTCTAGTTTCTCTTGGCTGAGCCAAGTCCAGCATTTCGGAAGTCTTTCCGATTACACTGTCCTTGTATTCGATAACAGGTCCGTGCGGCCTGCCTCTCCCTCTGAATCCGGGCTTGATCTCCGTGTAGAGGCGTTGGGCATTCAGGGACACCGCGCGGTCCGTACAGGTCCGCTCATTCTGGTTCGACCAGAAGAGAAGAAACTGACTTGAGCACTCGCAGTACGAGCGGGATGGCCGAAGATATCATCGTTCTCTTGGACTACTTATCGTGGACCGGTAAACGCGACATACATGTCGTCGGTGTGTCTTTGGGCGGGATGATTGTGCAAGGCACGTCGCGTGCTGGTTACTTCTTGGATTAGACTGACAATGCTTGCCTCAGAGTTGGCTACTCGTATTCCTGATCGGATCGCATCTCTCGTTCTCGCTGTGACGACCCCCGGAGGGTATTTCTGGAACAACTTCTCTCCTTGGAAGGGCACCCGGTCCTTGGCGAAGTCGGTTTCTCACTCCCTCGGAATCCTCGCCGCATTGTGCTCAAATCTTGCCTGTCCTGCAGACTTACATTCACGGCCGATGTGGAAGACAAGATCCCTATTATCCTGGACATGGTCTATCCTGCGGGATGGCTCGATGAACCTGTAGAGGGCGGGGAGCCCGGCCAAACCAATCGCGAAGAACAAATCCTGGTGGATACGTCCCATGCGGATCCCTTCCTCAGCTGACTCCCGAGCGCCAGGTCTATCGCCGACGAATTGAGCTGACGCCCAAACAGCATTTGACGGGTGTTTTCTCGCAAATGGCGGCTGCGCTCACGCACCACGTCAGCCCCGAGGTATGACCGCCTCTCTGCGTTCTCTTTGTCTCATTTCACGCAACATCATCAGCGCCTGCGCTTCATTTGCGACTCGATCCCGAAGGTTCTCATACTCACTGGTGACCGCGACAATCTCGTGAATCCGGCGCACAGCCGTCGTATCAAAGCAGCCATGCCGGATGCCGAATTTGTCGAATGGGTGGAGACCGGGCATGCTATACATGTGCAACGGCCGGCCCGCTTTAACCAGCTAGTCGAAAGAGTAGTTAAGGAGGGAAGGAGGAAAGCGGGGTCGTGATACTTGGGTAGAAATTATTGTAATAGAGGTACAGCAGACACAGTGTTAATCAGTAAGGCCGCGCTTACTAGGGTGATCGGCACTGACACGGTGGTGTGCCAGGTCACAACGTAGTCACGCGCCTCTAATGTCTTGACCTCCGATCATGCCCTCGAACGCGAAGAGAAAAAGTGGAAGCTCAGAGTCGGCTCCCAGTAAAACCACATCTAAACGCCAGAAGAAGTCACCTCGGACCTCGCATGCCGTCGAGTGGCCCCAGTACTTTCATGATGTGCGTAACGAAACCTAGTTCATCTCGAACACACTGAGTCCCTACACATGCCAGCTATTCAAGGTTTTTAAGGTGGAAATTTCAATGCAATGCACGCGTTTCGCGCATTGACCCTATTTGTCTTAGGCCTTGAACACCGTGCTTGCATTTGTCTCGTCGCGAAAACATCTTGCGAGTTCCTTCGATTCGATCCGCGCCTCGGTCGAGAATCTTCTCAAGCGGCAGGGGTTCCGTACCACTTCATGTATCTGGCTGACTCTATTACCAGGCATCTGGAGCTCCAAAGCGTCGCTGAACTCAAGTAATCTCCCGTCTCCAATCTGAATTACATATTCCCAACGCCGCTCCAGAGCGCTCCTCCCGGACCTTGTCAAGTTCGCCTATATTCCCCACAACGAAGTCGTTGTGAACGATGCTTCAAATCCCGATTCCCGGCGCGCAGGCAACGAGGACTTTCGGCTGCCGAGTACAAGCACCCAAGAGAACGATTCCGACCACATCCTGATCCTTGAATTCCTGGACAAGTCCAACGGCAGGAAAGCCGAGACCTCACAGGACGTGTTCACTGCGCCTGCCACGTTGACGCCGAGTGCAATGAAGAAACTAGTCGAGCGCAGGAATAGCAAATACGAGTCGGCTGTGAACGAGCTACTGTCCGTAGCAGCCGCCACGGATAGCGATGCGGTGGAGATGCTGAAGTCTGCGGCGAGGGAACATATTCCGGTGGACCCCAAACAGGCGAAGACGAGCTTGGAACCGGTGGAGATCCCTGAGCCGTCCCAGCGCGCGTCAATCGATTCGATTCTGTCGCGTATCGTGGAAGAGGAATGGTATAGGGCTCAGATATCCCATCGACGCACTGTGGATGCAAGATCTAGTGTGACTGGTAGCTACTTGGCTTTGTGCTGCGCTTCTCTCGACTCACTGGCATGGCTGTAGGAACGCTGGACGCGCCGTTGTCCGAGGCCATCCAAACGGCGTTGCAGCGATTAGGAAACATCTCGACTCTGTACTCCCATCAAGCAGCGGCCATCAACGCAGTGCACTCGCGCAAGAATGTCATCGTCAGCACGAGCACAGCCTCGGGCAAGAGCGTGATCTATCAGGTGCCTGTGCTCCAATTTCTGGAAGCGGATCCCACAGCGAAGGCTGTATTCGTGTACCCGACAAAGGTGTGTTTGTGTGTATTCGTTAATACACGCAGCTGAAACGCGGAGGACAGGCCCTAGCTCAAGATCAACGAGGCTCGTTTGAGCAGCTGATCTCTCACTGCGCGGGACTGGAGCACGTCAAAGTTGCGACGTACGATGGAGACACGCCCCAAGAGCTGAGAGCAGTCATCCGGGGGACAGCGTCGGTTATATTCACAAACTTCGTCTGTCGGCTGTCTTGACCGGCCCGTCTTGCGTCTGATTCGCTACAGGACATGATCCATGCCTCGATACTCCCACATGAAGAGGTTTGGAGAAAGTGCGTGTCCTACTGGAGCCCAAGATGGTCCTTCTCACGTCCTAACCAGCTTCTTGAAGCACCTGAAGATCTTTGTGGTGGATGAGTTGCACTACTACTCCGGGGTCTTTGGGAGGTGCGAGGCCCAGTCTTGGCGAGGATACATGCTAACAATGGCGTCTAGTCATGTGGCTCAAATCCTGCGCAGATTGCGCCGAGTGTTGCATGCTGTAGGCAGTGGGTGCCAAGACTTTCTTCCCGGAGAAAACGTAGTCAACAGATCCCTCAGATCGACGAACCGTGTTCGTCTCATGCAGCGCGACAATATCCAATCCTGGCTTGCACATGCAGAAACTCTTTGGGCTCGACGAGAGCTCGGTTGAAGCCGTGACAGAAGACGGGGCTCCGTCAGGGGTGAAAGACTACGTGATCTGGCAGCCGCCGCAAGTAGACAACCGTCCTACGAGCGGAATATCCGAAGCCACAGCGCTGATGGTGTATCTCATGCAGCGAGGGGTCCGCACGATCCTGTTCTGCAAGATCCGAAAAGTGTGCGAAATTGCGATGAAGAATGTGCGGCTGCAACTGAGCAAAGAGGGCCGGTTTGATATCCTGGACCGGGTCCAGTCGTATCGGGGAGGTGCGTCGTCTGATAGGGTGTTTCGCTCCATCAGAACTCATTCCTCATCGAAGGATATTCGCGCGAGGTCTTGCTTCCGCTTCTAGTCGCAGGCTATTGGACTGACCTCTGCAGGACCGCCGCCGTATCGAGCAGGATGCATTCAGTGGCCGCTTGCTGGGAATAGTGGCTACGAATGCACTCGAGCTGGGAGTCGACATCGGCGTCCTCGATGCAGTGGTCATGCTGGGTTTCCCAGTTTCACTTGCCAGCTTTGTGGGTGCCATTCATCGTATCTTATCAAACTCTCATTCAGTCATGCCTCACAGAGACAACAAGCGGGCCGAGCTGGGCGCCGTGCGCGAGACTCATTGGCGCTATTGTGAGCTCGTTATTGAGAGGATCGGACTCGCACCTCTGAACGCTACAGTGTCGCCGAGCACCTGCCTGTGGACCAGTATTTTGCCAAGAATCCTGACGAGCTGTTTGACGGCGTGATCGCAGATCAAGTTATCGATCTGGACAACCAGATTCTCCTAGAGGGTGTGCGCTTTTCTGAGCCTGTATCAATGCGCTGACAAGAGCGCAGCTCATCTGCAATGTGCTGCACAGGAGATGCCGATCTGCGATGCCGACAGTGTATTCTTTGGACCTTTGATGAAGTCGATATGTGAAAGCAAGTTGCGCAAGGACGCTGAGGGCTGGTATCACACGCATCCCAATCTCCTCCCCTCGCCCGGCAGGAATATTTCCATCCGCGGCATCCAGACGCAGGATCTGTACGCCGTCATCGACATGACCTTTGGTGTGCCTGTGATGCTCGAAGAGCTGGAGCTCCTACGAGCCATGTTTGAGGTGTACGAAGGCGGGGTTTTTGCACCGCGGCCGGACATTCGTGGTGCAAGACGTCAATCACGATAGCAGAATCGCGAGAGTCACGCGCGCGGATGTGAATTGGGTGACCGCTCCGCGCGATTTTACGGATGTCGATGCGATTCAGACTTGGAGGATCAAGCAGGTCGGTGCATGGAGGGCCTGTTATGGGCGGGTCCATGTGCAAGTGATTGTATTCGGATTTTACAAAATCCGGTAAGCGATTGTCCCCCCATGTTTCTGCGAAGAATTTCACTGATAAGGATAGACACAACACGATCCTGGATGCCGTCGCGCTGGACACTGCACCCTGGTCGCATACTACCACAGGGTTCTGGATCGACTTGCCCGCCGCAACTCTAGCGCTGCTACGGCTCAAGCGATTTCTGCCCGCCGCGGCAATCCATTCCGCGGCGCACGCCGTTCTGAACGGCTTTGTTTTCGCGGATGTCAAGACGGAGTGTAAAGCAGCAGAGAAGGAGTTGCTGAAGAAGGACAGCAAACGAAAGCGGCCGGCGAGGTTGATTTTCTACGATTCGGTCGGTCTGGAGGGTGTCAGCCGCAATGCGTTCGACCATGGTTTGCTACGGTTTCTCCTTCACTACGTCAGTCTGATTTCGTTCAGTGCATGACCTGCTTTGCAAGGCAGAGCGCACGATCGCAGGTTGTCCCTGCGACGAAGGCTGCACCAAATGCATGTGTTTCGTTTCCGTGCGTGCGAATCACTATTGACCGCGCAGCAGGTGTCTACAGCCCAGCATGCAAGGAGAAAAACTCCGTTGCCTCGAAGCTGGGTGCACTCATCGTACTCCGCGGGATCCTCGGCATTTTCATCGACGCCGCCGCCATCCCAGAGCAAGATTCGGACGCGGACGACAGCATTGTCCCAGCCTCGGGCGTCGGCGCGATTACAGATGTCCTGGTTGAAACATATAATACGGATAGATAAGGCTGTCTAAACTGGCTACGCGAGGGGATCAAAGTCCGCCCAGCCGTCGTTGTTTGCCTTGGGGGCTGTCCATGTCGGTACTGGCGGCTTGGATGGCGCCAGCAAGCCCGATCCCATCATCGGCGAGCTGGCCCCCATCAGAGGAGGTGAAACGGCGGCCATCATCGGGGTGTTGGAGAAGCCGAATGATGGCGGCGGTGATGCGGTCAATGGCGGCGAGGAAAAGGCTAACGGAGGCGCCGAGTAACTGGGTGCGGGTGCGGGTGCGGGTACGGGTGCGACCGATGGGAGGGAGATGTTGTAATTCGGCTTTGTGGTGGTGGACAGATTATACGACGGTTGTTGCGGGGGGGATATGGGCGCAGCGCGGGGTATGACGGGAGCAGCCGAGAACGAACTTGAGGATGCTCGCATGCTCAACGGTGATGGCTTTGGGGGTTGGAACGGCGAGGCTGGCGGTGGCGGTGGTTGAAGTGTTTGATGCTTTGGGAAATTCATGGCCAGTGGAGGACTCGAAGGCGTAGCCACGTTTGGTTCTCCCAGCATGGTAGCCCATGGATCGTCGTCCCAGCTTGTGGCTGTTGTCGTCCCTGTTGCACTTCCCCCAGTCACGTCAGGCTTAAGAGCACCGTTTGCCCTGGCCACCAAGCTCGCGAAGTCCACATTCCCGTCCGCACCGCCGCCATTAGCTCCGTTGGTCTGTCCCGTCGACGACCGATCCTCCAGTCGTTGCGAATCGCGCAGAAACTGTTTGTGTTCCTGTTCAATTCGGTCCGAGAGCTTCCGGATCACACCCATGAAGCGCTCAAATTGGTTCAGGCTGAGCAGGGGTCCGATGGACATAGCCCACAACTGAGGCAGGACCAGGGTAGCGACAGCTTCCCGGTCGACTTTGAGGCCCATGGCTTCTTGCACAGCCAGCGTCGCCATTGTCACTGCCGGCTCTTTGGTTCGGATTTTGGACAGCAGCGGCACGAGCTTCTGCGTCAGACTGGATTGGTCCAGAGTCCCCACCATAGCCAAGAACGTTTCCAGCGTCGCCACCTTCACTGTAAGAACGCGCGTTTTCGTAAAGACCAACTGTGTCTCGCATAAGCTCCGGACCCAAAAACACGTTCGGGGAAAACACAGACCGCAACTCTGGGGAACAGAACGCCCTGTACCTCGGCGTAGTCAATGCTCTCGCATAACCGAGGCACAGCCTTCAGCGCCCGTTCCTGCACGACGGCGTGGTCCGACTCCAGCGCGTTATACACCAGTGGCAGCACTTCCGTCCGGAATACCGACCCCTCCGTCTTTTCCTGCAACATCTCAAGATTCTCCAGCAACGTCAGCATATTCTGCGGTGGCTCTTTCACCGCAAAGAGAGGCTTTAAGCTCGGCAGTACCAGTGACGCAAACTGGGCCGAAGATAGGATCTGCGCAATCAGAAAGACATTTGGCAGAATGTACGGTAGCAGATGTGTGTCCTTCATCTCTTCTAGCAAACTGGGCAGGATCTTCCGCGTTCGTAAACCCGATGAGAATTTGTCGAGGACGTTCGTGAGCCCCTTCATGAACGAGATCTTTTCCTCGCGGGTTTTCGCGGTGAAGTTCGACCGGTCTAGGAAGTTCAGTGTTGATATGGGCAGTGATGAGAAGAACCCATGCGAAGGGAGGGTGGTCGGAGTGGGTCTGCTTGCAGGGTGTCGCGTTATTAACGAACGCAAGAGACCTGTGTAGATTTTGGTCCCAGTGAGAGCAAACTACGCTGGAGGACGGACCTTGTAGATCAGGATCCAAGGAATCCATATTCGGCGGTGGACGACCAGCGTTCTCGCGCAGCCCGCCCAGACTACCATGATTTTTGAACGGAGGACTGCCCTTGCAGTGTACGGCATATATCGTGCACCCGAGCGAGTACATGTCAGACCCAGTAATGAGTTGCTCGTCCAGCGCATACTCCGGTGCTGCACTCGCCGTTCAGTCTTGTCGAGGTCAAAGGAAACCACAGATACACGCACCCATGTAGTCGAATGAGCGCTGAATGTACTGTGGGACATGTCCGTCAAATGTTGGAAACTCCCATCGTGTCGCCCCGCCGCCAGATGCCATCAGCGGAATCGTCAGTCCCAGCCCAGCGATTTTCCAGTCACCCTATGAACACATGAGCTGACGAAGGATCTGGTTTATCTCGTTTTCGTACCGAGCTATTGATGATTATACTCTCCGGACTGAGATTAGAATGTATCAGCAGCGCCGATGAGTGCAAGAATGAAAGCCCTTTGCATATTTGCAAGATGCCTTTCTGGATCTGTAGAGCAATCAGCGGAAGCAAATCAATAGGTAGTTGAAACGCACTTCGACTTCGTCCAACTCCACGAGAGGGGAATGTCGACTTCCACTCGGGATAGATAACTCCAATGAAGACAACACAGGTTCCGTTGCGAATATCAATTCCGTCCGTGTCTCTTCCAGTGGTTCAACCATTTCTAGTGTAGTATGAAAGCATCAGGAACAAAGGGATGCCATTTCTATGATAGGGCGACTGACCCAAAATACAAGGATGCCGTAGCCTTGTGAGCGCAGAGGCCTCTTGGTGTGTAAGCCTCTATTCTCACAGCCGCATCCGAGACTAATACGTACCTCGGCTTTGAGTACTTCTAGCGTTCTTTCCTTCGCAGCCGGCCGCAGTCTCTCGATCTCAGGACTGCGCTTGTCAAATGACCACACGCTGACACGCTTGTTCGTCACTTTGTGTGAGGCAGATTGAACGCGCCAGAGGCCAATGGTTATGGGTAGAGAGAAGTTATTTGCAGACGAAGCTTGAGCTTGAGAGCCAGAAGCTCCGGGTCCGGGTGTCGGGGAACGGCTTCCAGCGCCAGAACTGGAGATGTTATACGACTGCGAGATGGCAGTGCGCGCAAAGAACGAGGTGGCGGCGGCAAACATGACGAAGATCACTGCCGAAGTCCAGAGTGGACCAGTAAGATGTCGATAAGGAAGGCTCTTGCCAATGGAGTCGTCAGTACGAGACCGAGATATATCCTGCCGTCAAGCGCGAGTCGTCACCACTGTCACAGTTGTCACGGCCCTGCTCCCTTGCACTTTCACCACACAAACTCAAGTGAGCTTCCAAATTCACGCATTTCACTTGCCAGTCAAACCCGCTCTCAAAATTTAGGAATGTGGCCAACACCAGCGCGCCTGGCCCGTCAGGCGGCAGCCAAAAGCCCAAAATCCTCCGTCTACATCTTTTCTCGGCCCAAAACCACACCACTCGAACCGTCCATGCCGCGGATATTACCCCGAGAAAGCGTTCCCACTGCGCAGAAAGGACAAATCCACCCCGCGCCTATACCGAGAAACCACGAACTCAAGCAAGCTACTTTGATCGAAGCACTTATTGAGAAGAAACGGGTGTCGGCGGACTGGCCGGCTAATCTGAGGATAGAGCCGTTCGTGAGCAGGAAACAATGGGCACCTGTCAAGCAAGGGTTGAGGTCTAAGCTGAAGAGCATGCTGAGAGAAGCATGATGAAGTGCGTAGTTGCTTCCGGTCGCATCTCATGCAGTATTTATCGTGAAGACGTAGGGCCGTCATTCTCCTCCCCATAGCATCTGCATCATATTATACAAACACTGTCCGAGTGCTTAATGAGCCTTTACTCCTCGTCCTTAGATTCTCAGGTAAGAGAATCTGTCCATGGTTCCTTCGCGTGGGTTGAGGTAAGGCCAGTGAGGGTGCTGCGAATACCACTCAAGCTGAGCCCGACGAAGCGGGATATGGCTCTCGCTCAGCTGCCTCATTCTGTCATGCACAACTTTGACCAGTCTGTGCAAGTGCCCGTCAACCAACTCTCTGTCATTTCTTGGGGGAGGGACTTGTATTCGCCGACGTTCGATTGGGATGGCCATTAATGCAAAGCGATCACGTCGGTTGTTTCTCGCCAGAGATTCGGTAGGACCTGAGAGGAACAGCTCCTCAGGGTGTAGGGGATCCTCTGGAAAAGGTCCTCGGGATCTGATCGGAACCTCGAAAAAGCGACCGACAGGGCTGCAAAGCTTTCCGCGAATTTGAGTTATAAAACATAGTGTTTGCAGTCCCATGGGCCGTCTGTCAAGCATGATTGCAGGTCTGCCAACAGGTGGATGAGCATCTCTCCTCGCTTCAGTTTCTAGGATCTTCATGATTTCCTCTTCCTCCGGAACGAGCTTTATTCCTCGTGTTGTGAGAAATTCGTAGAAACAGAGAGTGATGCTGGCTCGTTCTTTACACATAACCAACTGTCCAGGTGCAGCTCTAACAGAGCATGCTGTTCTAGCAGCCTTGGAAAGCGAGCGGAGGATGTCACCGGGCATCAAGCATGCATAGTAGTCGATGACTGGAATGAAGAAGTAGTTGATGGATATACTGTATACTCGAGCTGACATCATCAACATCAATCCATGTCTTGTCCGGTCGACCATTCTCAAGTCAAAAAGGAGCAATCCACCGACGCGGCAAAATGTCCGGTAGACCATAGCCCATCTTCTCAGTCCAAAGACAGTTCTGCGTCTGTATGGAGTCGCTTGTTTTCCTCGGGTCCTACTCCCTCGTCGTCCACTCCGGAAACTACCACCTCTATTCTCTCCACCGAGCGGGACATATCTAGTATCCCGCGAGCCGGAACATCTGAAAATTGGGTTTATCCGTCTCAAGCCCAATTTTTCTCTGCTATGGAACGCAAAAAACACGATCCGCAAGCAGCCGACATGCGCACCATTGTTCCCATTCACAACGCCGTCAACGAGCGTGCTTGGGGACAGATTTTAGAGTGGGAGAGTCTACGGGATGCAAATGGGTGCACGGACGGTCCACAGCTTGTCACTTTTAAAGGTCGCGCAGCAGAGACAGACCGTAGTCCGAGGGCGAAGGCTCGGGTGATGATGGGGTGTGTCCAAGCTTATCTATCACTCTCGAATGACCCTGACGGAATGCAGTTATACCGCCCCCTTTGACCGACATGACTGGATCGTCGACCGCTGTGGTATTCAGATGCGGTATGTCATCGACTTCTACACCGGCAAGAGCACCGGGCCGAATGCGGGACCCTCGTTTTATCTGGACGTTCGGCCAGCCCTTGACAGTTGGGAGGGCGCCAGGATGCGGATGCAACGGTTCTGGGGAGGTTTACTTGGTTTTGGTCCATCGTCACAGATTGTGTCGAAAGCGTAAAACAGTTTATCTGTGATGCATATAGATTGCTCCATTCCTGCGTCATCCTGAGGTCGAACTCTCCGACGCTCCGCACTGGAGATAGTGCGGCTCTGAGGTCGAGTGGCTCCTGCAGAAGACGTACGGGACCAAAGCAATTCGTGCTTCACTGCTGAGTACAACAAATGCCTGCTGTGTAATGATACAGTATGGGCAATATATACAGATGTGCGCGTTTCGACATTAGATCGTGACGAAGTTGACTCTACGCATCTTCTTCCTCTCGCACTCTCTTGATCCCCAATTGCGCTGGGCCGGCTGCGGGAACACCACTGGTAACACCAACCACGAGACCCTTGAGCCATCCGTTCTCTCTCCGGAGACCCTCGCATTCCCGTTCTAACTCTCCGACCCGTGATTCCAACTCTTTCGCCCGTGTCTCGAGCGCGGCCTCACGCTCCTTCTTCTTCAGCCTGAAGCGGGCCGATGCGGCCGTGTTCCTCCGCCGCTTGTCCTCTGCCACGCTCAGAGAGGACTCGACAGAATCCTCCGGAGACTGAACTTCTGGAGACGATGAGATCGAAGACTTGCGTGTTCGAGACCGCTTGGCGGCCGGAGGGGTATCGTAAGCAGCCGATTTGCCGGAAGATGGTTCGGCGGGCTGCTGAGGCAGAGCAAAGTTGGGGCCTTGGGCTGCGGCCAACATCTGCACGATGGAGAGGGAGGGTTGATTGTTTTGGGCGACACGTCCATACGAGGCTAGTAATTCTGCCAAGTCGTAGGTGTTTTGCGGGAGGAGGTTGGGGACGTTCATTCCCTGGGCATGAGCCTGTGGGAGACCCGATTCGATAGAGTGGTTATCCTCGCCATGAGAATCATGGAGCGAGTCTGTGGATGGGCGTTTTTCATCGAAGAGGGGTTCTTCGTCGTCGAAATTGATATTCTTCCAGTAGAGTTCAGAGTCGTGGAATGAAGGACCAGGCAAAAGGTCCTGTGCGCCAGAGGAGGTGTGAGGAGGGTGGACGACGTTGAGGCCGTGCAGTGACGATGGTGCCATCTTGCGTGGGAGTAGCGTAGAGATAACGAGACAAGGGGGATGGAAGGGGATGGATGTATGTATATGCAGTGACTTTGTAATCCACAGATGACTAACCACGGCATCGGACCGATCGAGAATTTCGGGTCCAGGCACATCCTTTTTCCTCGGCGATTTTCGCTCAACGAGTTGACCGACCGCTATTCTGCGCAAGTCCGCTACTCCACTAGAGCAAAGAACATCTCTCTGCGCGTACATGAAAGGGCTCTCAGGCCTCACGAGTCGATCTCCCAAAGAACGTGATCTGCTGAGAAATCAGATTATGATTAGTATATCTCACATGACAAATCACACCGTGTGATCTCCGGGCCAATCCCTTGGCAACAGCACTTCCGGATCCGGGCGATGCCATCGATAAGATAACATCGATCAGATCCATCACATATTCCTTATGTAAATTATGCCTACTTCACGATGCATACCGCACTTGCCTGCTTGTGTCACAAAGACTCCGTTTCACGTTTGACTCGAAAGGTCCATGGATGCAGCCCCGGAGCGTAAGAAGAGAGATGTGACTGGCCATTGCCAACGTCTGAGTCCGAAAAAGGCAACCCTTAGTTTGTTCGAACCAAACAATGGACGCGTCGACGTGTACTTGTCCAGCTATCCGCTAGTACTATAGGCCCCGACGCGGCCATGGCGTCTCTCTCCGAGAACACTACAAAATACCGCGCCCCCCTGCTAAACATGTTCTGTACGCGGAAATCCTCACCGTCACTTCGGTCATGCGCAAGAACTCGCGCTGGGCTAATGGCACACACTTCATGTTCACTGGTCGCGACGCTGCGGGAACTGGAAGCGACCTAGGGCTGCGAGTGAACAATGCAGGGGCTGTGTCTGCAAGGAGAATAACGCGTGAGGCTGAGCTGATGTTGGGCTTTGAGGAGCTGAAGAGAGTCATTCGGGATACTGAAGGTGTGTGCGCTCGTCTACGTGTGATAATCCCAAGAGTAACCATAGCTCGTCACTCAGACATATCCGCTTTGCCGCTTCCGACTCTGCTTGCGCCCTTTTTCGCGCTTCTCCGCTCTCCCTTGTCCACTGGTCCCATCACATCCGCTGCACTGGCTTCTCTCCATGCCTTCTTCACCTCCGGACTCATTAGTCCCGAATCTCTCGAGCTCGAATCGGCGCTGGTTGGTATCAGCAGTACTGTTTCACATTGCAAATTCGAAGCCAGCGATTCCTCAGGCGACGAAGTAGTGCTGTTGCGCATCATGACTGTGATATATGATAGTCTCTGCGGATCTGTGGGACGGAGACTGGTGTGATGTGGAAGTCTGCGAAATGCTCGAGACAATACTCACGACGTGCTGCCAAATGCGGCTGAGCGGCAAGTTACATGATCTTGTCCTGTCCGAATTTTGACGCGGACTCCAGAAACTCTGCGACGCTCTGCCGAGAATACAATGCACGCCGTTGTGCGGACTGTTTTCCTGCGTCTAAACGATCTCGATCCTGAAACAGAGGAAGAGAAACTGCGATTGGGCGATGAAGATGCCCCAGACAGCGCTGAGATTCGTATGACGGTCACGACCAGCGAATCACTATTGCGGAAGAGCACGCCCAGGATATTATTCTTGAGTCTGGGGTCCCCGAGGAAGAGTCCACGGAGGCAGATTTACCGGCCACAGCTCTCACCGGAGAAGCAGCTGTCCGCCCGGAATGTATGTCATTCTTAATTCTTTCTTCCCCGGATTTCTCAAGAGCCCCAGACGGACTGCCGCGATTGTGGAGCTGCTACGCGTTCTGATTACTGTGCTTGATCCGAGCGACCAACAACACACCGACTCTACACGGTTAGTCGCATTGTCGACGTTGACAGCCGCCCTTTCTATCTCTGGGCCCCGGATCCCGGCTTTCCCCTCACTCATGTCGCTCCTGGCCGACTCAGGCTGCAAGCATCTTTTCAACTTGCCCGTTCCGACACACCAGCCGTTCTGGGAGCTGCATTGCGTGCCATCGGCGTTGTATTTGGGATCGAGGAGACAAGAGAGAAGCTCAAGCTCCAATTGGAGCTTTTCTTGTCCTTTGCCATAGACAGACTGGCGCCTTCCCCGGTGTCCGGCCAGACCAAGAAGGGATCGGTTGTCTCGCCCCGACCGGGAACTCCTTCCGTCGGACCTTCCACGCCACTGCTGGGGCCTCCCGAGTCGGCAGAAGGAGAGTCGCCGAGTCCCGCGACACCTTCCAGGCCGACTATTGCTCCTGCACGTGGCGAGACGCGTGATCTGATTCTGGAGACACTGAGCCAGATCGCACGTCGGAAGAGCTTCATGGTCGATCTCTGGGTGAATTACGACTGTAATCTGGACTCGGAGGGAATGTTCGAGCGACTGGTCAGCTTCTTGACCAAGTCTGTGTATCCGGTCCCGGGACCGTCCGGGTTGGACCCGAGACAGAGGAACGCGCAGTACCTGAGCCTGGATCTACTTCTGGCCTTTGTGAATGACATGGCTGTCAGAGCTAATGGGGTGTGTGCCGCGGCTGCTATCATTTCTCTTGCTCATCGTCCTGTCCTGTAGGCTGTAGATCCCTGGCCTTCATCATATCCGACGTCCGAGTCTCTGATCCAAGCCAAGTCGCAAAAGAGCCTCGTCATCACGGCAGCATCGCGCTTCAACACCAAGCCCAAGACTGGCGTCGCTTTTCTCGAGGAGAACCATCTGATCTACTCGGATCTCCCTGCGGATGCCCCTGCCAGCGCAAAAACCCACAACCTGGCCGTGTTTCTCAAGTCTTGCCAGCGTCTAGACAAAAGCTGCTCGGTGACTACATATCCAGGAAGAGACTTTGCCCCTTCTCAAGGCTTTCATGGGCCTGTTTGATTTCCGAGGGGTATGTTCATGCTAATATGACGTATGATGTACTCATCTTGCTGCAGAAACCGATAGCCGATGCCATGCGAGAGCTTTTAGAAACTTTCCGGCTACCTGGAGAGGCACAACAGATCGCGAGAATAACAGAGACATTTGCGTCGATCTACTTTGCTTCCGAGCCAGGCGAGTGTCGGCTTATGGAGCGTTTTTGCCCTTTTTCACACTGATTCCAGATGAGATCCAGAACGAAGACGCAGTATACGTGCTTGCCTACTCTGTGATCATGCTCAACACCGATCTGCATAATCCTCAAGTCCGGGTAACGTTGAACATTCGTTACGAATTCTTGAGTTCTCACCACGGATCATAGAAACGAATGACCATCGAGGACTACAGGAGAAATCTCCGTGGGGTCAACAATAACTCGGATTTCTCCGAGGACTCTTGGTGCGTGTTCCCCGAAGCTGACCACCATTCTGTAATCGGATGCCAGCAAAATATCTACGATTCCATCCGCAAACGGGAAATCATCATGCCCGAGGAGCACAGCGGCCAACTAGGCTTCGATTATGCTTGGAAGGATCTGCTCGAAGATCCCGCAGTGCGGGCGACTTTTTGAGCTGCAACACCAATCTCTTTGACGTGGACATGTTCAAAGCCCTCTGGAAGCCGCTCATCTCTGCCATTGCCTATGCATTCATCAGCTTCGACGACGACTACGTCATACAACGGGCTATCACTGGATTCCGACAATGCGCGACGCTCGCTGGCCAGTTTCCACTGCCTGATGGTTTGACTTTGTCGTGGTCTCATTATCCCAGGCGAACTATGCTGACGGAGTCTCTGTCGGCTCGGTTCCCACTTCCCTGTGGTCGATGTCGAGGGCCAGTCAGTCACTGTGTCCAACTTGTCCACCAAAGTTGGGACCAACTTCAAGGGTCAGCTCGCTGCTGTCGTCCTGTTCAACATTGTGAACGGAAATGGAAAGCGCTGCGGGAAGGCTGGACGCAGGTATTTCATCGCATCTTTTCGGCAGCACGTCTCAATACGCTTACCGGCGCAGATCTTCGAGATGTTCCAGAACCTGTTCTTGCACTCGCTGCTTCCTATCAGGATGCTCCAGATGGAAGACTTCCTCGGCGGGGTGTCGATGATCCCTTTACGTGGCGCTCAGCCTCAGCGGGCTGCTCCTCGCAGCGAAGGCGGGCTTCTGTCCGCACTGTCGTCATATCTCATGACGCCGTATGGGGGCAGCTCAGACACTCTCGTGCCCGATGCGACTGATGCGGACATCGAGAACACGCTGGTGGCGATCGACTGCATCACCTCGTGTCGGTTGGACGAGCTGTACAGCCAGGTTATGTGGGTCCCGTTCCTCGCGCGGTCGACTGCAGCTGAACGCGTGACAGGCAGCTGGACGCTGAAGCGCTGGTGGCTGCAGTCCGTGCATTGGAAGCCCTGGCCCACGAGCGGACTGTTGCCAAATGAAACAGGTCACAGACGAGGATGGGAACCCTCCCGCCGACGACGGGTCGTACACTCTCCCTACGACCGGCGTCCGTGTTCCTTCTGGAGATGATGGTCAGCATCACGTGTCAAACGGTCGAGCACATCGACGAGCTGTGGCCGATCGTTTTCGAACATCTGTCTGCGCTGCTGGCCAACACTCTCCAATACAGTGTCCTGCTCGTTGAGCGTGCTGTTGTAGCTTGTGTGCGACTGTGTCTGCTTTTGGCAACCAAGGTTTGCCTATTACACTTCCTTTCCGAGCTGTACTGACTGGCCGATCTTGCAGCCTGCTCTTCGAGATCAGATTACGTATCCTTTGATCTCCTATCCTGCCTACCGCCTTCGGTGGCCAGCTCTGTCTCCGACAAGTCGTTGCTGGCGTGCTGCTGATCGTGCAGAACCACAAAGCGATCATCAGGTGCTGTCCGACGACATCATCTGGCTGGCCTTGCGCTGACGGATTCCAGCTCACAAACCGAGTGGCATCTCGTCTTTGCGCTCCTCAGGACGACTATCTCGCACCGGAAGC